CACAGAACGAAAAGAATGAAAGAAATCCATAGAAAATTTCAGATTTTTTTTAAAGCTATGGACATAATTGTAATGAGCACTGGGGTACACGTGTTTCTTTGGAATTTGCTGTATTTGCACCAGAGAACCCAAAGCTGGTGGATTGTGACAAACTAGAGGGCTGGAATCGGGAGGGAGGTGGGAGGGTGGCTCACGAAGGAGGGTTCATATGTATATCTATGGCTGATTCAGGTTGATGTATGGCAGAAACCATCACAATATTGTAAAGTAATTATCCTCTGATTAAAAATAAAAATTAGGAAAAGTTAATCCATTTAAAAGGCAAAAAACTCAGGCAAATCTGATTTCCCCATGAGGAAAGATCTATGAATCAGTGTTTAAAGTTACATATAGCACGTTTTATGCCACTATTAACAGTTACAATACCTCAAAACATTGACAGTACCCATAACAGCAGTAGCTAAATCTTTAGGTCTCTCTCTATATATCTACATATAGATATATATATAGTGATAAAAACTGGGAAATACAAAAAAGCTGTCAGTCAGCACCACTAAACAGTAAGGACAAGTCTGGCTGTTTGAGTGCTGCTTAAACAGCTGGCATCAGGGCTCAGTGTGAGCTTGTAAAGGGCGTCTCGGGTGGCTCTTATGGTAAACAGTCCCACTGCAGTGCAGGTGACTCCGGTTGATCCCAGGGTCTGGAAGATCCCCGGGGGAAGGGAATGGCTCCCCAATCCATTATTCTTGGCTGGAGAATTCCAGGGACATAGGAGCCTGGTGGGCTACAGTCCGTGGGCTCGCAAAGAGTCGGACACGACTGACTGACTAACACTTTCACTTTGAACATGGAAAACTCAACAGTGCTGATGTTTCTGCTTAAAATTAAGTCAGATGCAGAGAAACATGGCTTAAAATGCCATATAAATTTTCATGATACACACACAATACAGAAATATTTTCCTTTAATAAAGATTTTCTCATCATTTTTAATGGGAAACAACTAAAATCTCATGGAAACAGTCCAGTAGGGAAATTTTTACTATTGAGTTTTCAAGTCATATATTTTTTTCCTTCAAAATCTGTATATATTATTTTGATGTCTCACAGGTAGGTCCTGATATAGATTTGATCTGCCTGTAGATAATACAGAGGACACTCGAGAGAATTCAGATACAAATTCAGCAGCACCTGGAAAGAGACAGAATTATATTCTTTATCTAAAATACTTGAGCTCGCAAAGTATTAGCTAAAACAAACAGACAAAAAACCCTGAGACCTAGTGTTCTGAAGCATGAAACATATCTGTATATGACATGACACAGAACACAAGGTAACTGCATTCTCTGCCCATGGTCGCTCCTGTGGCTGAGGATCAGAGCCTCTGGCTTCCTCAGGCTTCATTCATTTACTCAGGAACTATGCGCAGAGGTGCTGGGACAAGCACTGGAAGTACAAGATGGAGGTGCCCCACTGCGCCCGGAAAACGACACGCTCTAAAGTGGGAAACAGGTGAACGGGCGGCTTCCACACAGACTCATAAACTCTAAGACAGGTACAAAAGACGGCACAGGGACACTCAGAAGGGACAGCCAGCTTCGTGTCAGTACTGCCAGCTTTCTGGTGGAGGTGCTATGGAAGCAGATACCTGGAGGACAGGAAAAAGTACAGGAGACGGAGGGGAGGAGCACGTACAAAGCCCGCAGGTGAGGACGCGCAGCTGTGGGATCCTACAGTCTGGCTGGTTAGATGCAGAGCCGAGGGCAGAGGAGGGTGGTAAGGAGATAAGGCCGTCTACTCTAGCAGGACCCAAACTGATGTGGGTGTTTGGAGCTTTTCCTGAGGGTGAGAGATAAACTGGTGACAAAGTCAGTGACAGAGAAATTTTAGTCACCCACCGAGTGACAGCTGCACACCCGTGACTGTTGAGTCTGGGTTTCCAGCCTTAACCGCCACCAGCGCCTGAGAAGCAGGTGAACACCACGTTTCCTGAGAATAGTGTCAGGTGCAGGCAGACAGTTCCACAGGGATGGAGGCAGTAGAAGAAGGAAATAGCCAGAAGTAAAAGAAATACACAGACCTTTAGAGATTCTTTTTCAAGCTATGGAACATGATGAATCAATGAGGAAGAAGGATATTTTTCACTATGACCGCTCATGCGTTCACATTTCTCATTAGCTATGTGTAAGAAAAAATATTTAACATGGTGTCTGCTATCCAAACAATGGAAAGAGATCCCATTTACTGCCTTCGGTGTATTTCAGAAATCAATGTCCAAATTTAATTCGTACGTTCTGGCAACATACCTTTCCTTAGTTCTTTAGTTATACTCCTGTCCAACTCTCGCCACATCTGAAATAAGTCAAATATTATTTATGTTTAAGATAAACAAGAGATACTATCATAGGAATGACATCAAACTTACTAAATGTGACTTTTAAATAATACTTTTAGGCACTAGACCTAACCTCAAGATTACTTCAGTAGAAAAAAAAAATTACATAAATATAAGAAAATGAATTCCTACTTATTCTCCTTATAGATAACAGAGCATATTTATGGAATGCTATTTAGATTAACTGATAAAAAGTACAATAAATATCAGTCTGTCGAGTACACATAATTTGAAAGAATTAGGGGATGACCCATACTCCTAGGAATGACCCACAAGATTCCTCTCTTCTCCCCTAACAGCTCCTGCCCTAAATATGTCCTGAGACCTTTATTTTGATTTCTAGGTGAGGATTGCGTTCAAGTGGAGGAAGTAGTCTGAAGTCGAATATTAAGAACGAGAGCACATCTGTGGTTTTCTTTAAAGTTGTCCATTTAACGAAAAGACAGAAAGTTCAGAAAATTTACACACAAGAAACAGTGTACCAGCAAGTTTCAGTTCTGACAACATTTAGCAAGAGGGATTCTCTCGTCAGTGTTAGTTTCGGAACTGTGTCCCATAGTCGGGGAAGGTCCCACAGGGGTCACTGCAGGGTTGGGGAACAGAGAAGCCACAGCTGCAGGGCCTCTGGCCGCTCTTCAGCTACAAGGCTCTGTGCTCGTCTCCGTTTTAGGTAACACGGTTCCCTGCAGGAGTTTTTTTTTTTTTTTTAAAGAAAGGTTCTTTTCCTTGGGAAAAACACAAACTTTTTTAAAGGTATGGGAGTCATTGATTTAGTCAAAGTTCCTAATTCTACAAAAGAAGTAACAAAGGCCATGTCCTTCTTACTGAGTCCAGAGTCCTAGGCCAGCTATGTTCTTAGATTAGGAAAAAACACATAGATTTTTAAATATAACATAGACAAAATGAACATGTAAAACCTTGTTACACAGTTGAATAATGCTTGTGGTGTGACATGACTTTCCAAGTAAATTATGTGTTTTAAATGCATGAACAAGAATAAATCAATATCAAATCCTATTTGTGGCAGTTGATACAGTTAATTTAGAAAGCATACATAGTTTTTAAACAGAGGTCAGGGAACTTGAAGGAGAGAATCTTTAGCTGAATCAAGCAGGCCAAATGTGAAGAGATTCAACCTTAAGAGGATGTTCACTTCCTCTAGATAGAACCTGGCTTGCTAAAATGACTCAGCAATGAATTATCCACATTTTGGGTTCCTGAGGGCAACATTTAAAACACACAACAGATCTCTCTTTACTGTTTAGCACACTTCTATCCAGGCTCTCATCATTAGTTGGTATATACAAAAAGCATGAGTGTAAACTCAACTATAATCTAAATCCGGTCAGAAGTTGCAGTTGAAATTCATTTCCTCAGCCTGAAGTTTCAAGGGGAGCACATATACCCCTACCCTCCTCATGAGAAGCAAGGAGATTTACCTAATGGGTGAGTTTGGGAGAAGGAACTAAGAAGTTCTTGCTTGGTTCCCAATCTCTTCTTTGAAAAGATGTATGTGTGCACAGCACCGTGAACTTGGGTCTGTGGTAGGCAGCCCACCCCTGGGATGGGGGTTAAGCCTTGGCTTTCTCCCCTTAGGCCTGTGTCTGTGTGGGCAGGTCTCTGACTTGGGATGAAGTGTTTGGAGGCCCGCTGTGACTGCGCAGCTAAAGCACGTCCTCCAGGTTCATGGCTCTCAAGTACTATGACCCAACGTAGCTCCAGTGCTGTCGAAGAAACTTTAGATTGCTCTTCTGTGATGGCAAGAAGCCAAATGGGAAAACAGGTTGAGACTGCATGTAACAAGGGCTGCTTTTCTCTGCATCACCAACATCATGGAAACACCATCGAAACCATAAACCCGTGTGCACTGACTGAAATGGACATTTTCATCACAATGATTTCACAATGAAAACTAGCTGCAATGTAAAGACTCCCCTTCATTGCTATCTCAGTCATCATTCATCCAGGTGAAGTCAAGACAGAGACAAAAGTGAGCTTCATTTACAACTTTTCAATATTTGATTTAACTACAAACGTAGAAACATTCCACAACTGCTCAGCAAGATATGTTTTAGAAATTTAAACCAAAACTCTGTCAGTAAAATAGCAATTAAAGATGCACTCATGTCTAAGAAAATAACAAGAAATGTTAACCTAAAACCCAAAATTAATCTTTTGATTATTACAGGTTTGTTTAATTCATAAAAACAATTTATCTAGGATTCCTTCAAATAAAAAACATCCAAATGTCATTAGTGTTTAGATGCCAGTCACTTATGGTGAGGGTTAGAAAAACTGCGGTGGGAGCAGCAGAGCATGGAAGTGATTGTGAACCACTGCCAAAGTGAAATCAATTAAAAAGTTAATCAAACATCTGAAAGTACACTTTCAGTTACTAGACAGTAAGATTTCATTTCTAAAGTAGAATTTCAATGCAGGTTTTCAACAAATTTAAGAATCTAAGAAGTATCTCTTAAAAACGAGAGAGCTAGCACAAAAAAATCATTAAATGTCTCCTTGATTATCACAGTTGATTATGGTTTTACTTAGTGTGCATAAATCAAAAAAACACCTCAGAAGTTCACCAAATTAAAAATAAGGATCGTTTATATCAGAAATCTGAAATCCAGTGAAAAAAATAGAACAGAACTAACTTTGGTCAAGAAACTCTCCACGCTGTCATTTGAACAGCGTGGAATTGAGGTAGAAAACCCTACGTTTGCTCCTGAAATAAGATTTGCATTGAACCCTGAAGTAGGATTGAAAATTCCAACAGAAGAGGGCTCCAGGACTGACCTGCGGCTGAGAGTGCTGAGTAAAGATCTCTTCCGCTGTTTCTCCACCTCAAGTTTGGTGCTCATCTCTGCCAGCCTCTCATTATTCCTGGGGAAGATGGAAAACACCAATTTCATTCATGTTTCCCTATGTGACTTGCATTTTGTAAGTTGCCGCACAGTAAATGGAATTCCCATTACCCTGTATGTACACTGGAAGCACACAGCAGACCTGCTGTAAACAGTGACGGCTGTGACCTTGTTCTAAAGAAGCACACGTGTGTCTGGGGCTCCTCAGGTAACAAGTCACAGCTGGGAGAGGAGAGAAGGGGCATCAGAGAGAAAGGGAGGTGGGCTCACAGTGACACCTGCTGCCTCTGGGACACGCCTGCCCCCAGGAAACAGGGATGAAGAAACACGCCATCCCACAAATCCATTTTCAAGCGTTTCCTTTCACCATTCTTATATATACCTTCCACTCATGACCGTGGAGAAATTAAGCACTTGGCTCTGAGGAATCACCTAGAGCCACAAACTTGAGGGCAATGGATGACAAAAGGGCTAGAACAGCCCCAGGAACAATGACAAGTATGCCCTGCTTTTCCAAAGTTCATTTTATGTTACTTCACTTCTACGAAGGGCCTACATCAGCACCTGTATCTCATAAGCAAAAAAAAGAAAAAAATCTGAAGAGAATTTTTGGTTTCATTTCAAAAGGCAAAAAGTCAAAACGGCGCTCAGTGTATGTTTTTACAATGAGAGGCATCGCGCTCCCCAAGCAGGGAGACTGGCCCCACCGAGCTCCTTCCCCGGAAGCCACACCCCACACCCCAGCATCAAGTCCCACAGCCCTGAACCCTCTCTGGGAGCACCTCTGCTTCCCTTGTGTGTGCTTACTTTAGGCATCGACTAGCAGAACGTGCCCTAGGTCCCCGCTCCTTTGCTGTATGCTCTCTGGGCTCCTGACAGGCGTCCTAGGAGTGCTCTGCTTTCAGAGGCGGGGAAGCCTGGACTCGGCACTGCAGGTGGGATCTGCCCTTTCCAGCCTCCATACAACCCCTCAGTCAGGTCACCATGCCAGCGTCAGCCACTCTGTGAATTACCCGGCCTTTCACCCCTGTGTGAATGGTCCCTGATTTCACAAGCATGCTTTTACTTAGCGTAGGAAAACTTACAAGGATATCTCATTACTCATTTTTCTTAGGGTGCCCTCTAGCAGTGACTGACTAGCTAGCTTTCACTTCCTACTAATCTCAGGAACCTGGCTCTATAAAAACTAGGCTTCAGAGACAAATTAATGGACTAAATTTATCTTCTGTGATTCTGTGTTTTGACTTACTTGTCTAGTTCATTTTCCAAGGACTTTCTAACTTTGAGTTCCTCTAAGTAGAGTTTCTTATACTTTTCCATCTCTGCTCTCTTATAATCTTGAAAAGTTTTCGTCCTGGATATTTCAGATTCCAAGTCTTTAATTCTGAGTTCCATCTGACTTCTTATGGAAGCAATATGCCCCTCTTGGAACTGCTCTAAGATTTCTTGACATTCTGCTCGTGTCTAAGTCAAATTTAAAAAGATACATTTTTTAAATGATTATAACCTGAATAATGATATTTGTTCCATTTAGTTTTGAGTCAGGCATTCAGAGAGTGATTTTAAATGTGAAAATAAGAAAAGAGGAACTTTAAAATAATCATCGTCAATGTGACATGAATTACATCTGAATTATAAAATAAATGGGGAATCAGTGTTACAGAACTACTTAAGGAACCGGATGATTCAAAGACTAAGAGGATGAGTGAAAATTCAGAAACTGAACAAGACAAGAGTAATTCAAGAGGACGGTACCAGTTCTAAACCAAATATTTCCCTCCCCCCCCAGTCTTGTGTATACCAATTGGTCTTACAAGTAAAAGGATTCTCTAGTGAGAAGCATTCTGAAAGATCACTTTAGTGATAACTGTGATGGACACTGAAATATTTACAAGGAGAAACAAGTGTGCCCCTCCTTCCAGAAATCTACAGAACACACTGCTCTAAGGGAAGCAGAGGAAACACATAAGCTGTATCCATCCAAAATGTAGTTTACAGTGAGGTGAATTCAAGCACATGACAGACCAACAAATTAACCTGAAAAAATAGGTTGACTTCTTTCAATTTCTCTATGAAGTCCTGTCGTGCTCTTTCTTCAATCTCCCATTTATACTGCTCAACTTGAGTGTGTTCTATCATCTTCAGTTCTGTATAACTTTGGAGTTTCACTACTTCTTGCTCCAACTTCCTGCTCTCTTTCTCTAGTTTCTCACACTTCCTTTGCCATCCTTTCATTGATAACAACTCCCGTTGAAGAACTTGATATATTGCATCCAGGTGCAGACACTGTGAACAGCCAGCTCCCAGCTCTGCTGGAAGATGATCAGTCTGCAAAAATAAAACAATACCATTTGGTTCTGAGGAAAGTGGACTGAGCACAGCCTCACTCAAACCGAGGATCAAATATATACGATGGTATCTGTATTGGAGAATGTAGGACCTGGAATAACTCAGAGAATCAAGAAAGAAGTTCAAGCCACCAAGAGTCACAAAATATACTCTTCACTATCATCTTAGTCTCACAACATTTGCACTTGATTTTACACTCTTTTATTGTTCTACAGTAATACTTTTCTATCTTTCCTCTGTAGAACGACTGCAAGCCACCTCCTAGTAGAATGTCTCTTACCCCTTTCTCCCATCTTATCCCATGGTTTTTAAAGAAGTTTGAGGTATCCTGTATTGAGTTATCTAGGACTGACTTAATAAATGCCTCCCGAAAGAAGATTGTGAAAATAAGACTCTAATGGTTAAATCTTGGAAATATGGATTCTAACCCAATAAGCCTTTTCTGAACTACAAACAGTCTTTGCTAATTTGAATTGCATTCCAAAGAGACATGAGTCACAAGGTTAAAGAAAGGTTAAAGAAATCCCATCTCCTAAGAGTTTAGTGAGATGATCCATACATTTTTCTGAACAACAAAAAAATGCCTCATTCTTGTAACCCTTTCTTACTTTCCGCAGAATAAGAGACGTACCAAACAAAGGGAAGAAAAAATATTTACTGGAATATCAGTGACACTGAATTGGAAAGAACTTTCCCTTAGACAGAATGATTACTTGGCAAGTCGACGTGAGTGGAGCTCGTGGTTTTCAAACATGTCTCCAAATTCTTTTGACACTTTTCTCATGAAATTCCCTCTCCTTAAGTATGTGTTAGTCCTAGTAACTGATTCCTCCTGGACAGAGTCTGGGGAAACTGCTGTGTGAGTTTTAAAGCTAAATAGCTTCTGAATGTCCCTCTGTGGGGAAGCCAACTCTTAGACTCAGTCAACACGCTGTGAAGAAGCACAGCCCACACACTGAGCACATGTCCGTGTCCCCACTGACCGCCCCCACCTAAGGGCCCCTCCAAAAGCCAGCTCCGACACCAGACGTGTGCATGGGGAAGTCTTCAGATGACTCTGGTCCCCAGCTTCACAACATCCCGGCTGATGCAACTGGAGAAGAAATGAGCGGGGCTCACTCACTGAGCCTTGCGCCAGCACAGACTTGTGAACAAAGGAAACGCTGTTGAGTCACTGGGCTTTGAGGTGGTTTCTAATGAAGTCTGTTAACAATAAATAACTGGCACAGACACTGATAGTAAACATGGGGTTCAGTTCAGTCACTCAGTCCCGTCTGACTCTTTGTGACCCCATGGACTGCAGCACACCAGGCTTCCCTGGCCACCATCAACTCCCAGAACTTGCACAACTCGTGTCCATCGAGTCGGTGATGCCCCCAAATGAGGTACTGCCGTTAAAAAAGAGCTGAAACATGCGAGAATGCCTTTGAACCTGGAGTGCATTCAATGCACTTAAATGGATGCAGAGAAAGACATGAAAACCCAATGGGCTTCATGACATTGTACACAGAAGCCTGATGGTCCCTGAAGATGCTGCTGGTGATGGCTTCTAGGCGAGAGAAGAAATGGGAGGAGGAGACTCTTGCTTTAAAGCAGCTGAAAGTAAATCAATGAGAGGGATAAGCTATCAGAAAAATTTAAAAGTGCTATTAAATATAAAGGAACCAAGACTCACTGGCTTCAATGTCTGTATCCCCTTTACAGCATCTCCACATGTCCAATTGTCACAGGATGCTAAAGGACAGAAATGGCTTCTGGGCTAAGATCAAATCTAGGGTGCTGCTAGGAAAACACGGTCTAAAGGTAAAACCTGTAGACTATAAGTGTAAGACCCTGGAAAGACTTAAGGTGGTGCCTCAGATTCCTTAAAGGATCTTAAGAGGAAAAGAACGCTAAAAGTGTCATCCTGCAAAGTTTCACAGGAAGCCCAAGGTGCAGGGCTTCCTTCAGAAAAGATTTTGGAGGGTAACTTTTCCAATGGCGAGAGCCCCAATCAAATTCATAGGACACTAAGAGCTTTAAAGAGAACCTTGGCAGCAAAAACACTGCTTGCTTGTTTGACCTAACAGAGACCAAGTGTGAGCCGCCCAGTCATGTCTGCCTCTGTGCCCCATAGACTGAAGCCCACCAGGCTCTTCTGTCCATGGATGGGATTCTCTGGGAAAGAACACTGGAGTGTTCCCAGAGTGTGAAAGAACACATTTCCTTCTCCAGGGGATAGGGCTTCCCTGATAGCTCAGCTGGTAAAGTATCTGACTGCGGTACAGGAGATTCTGGCTTGATCCCTGGGTCGGGAAGATCCGCTGGAGAAGGGATAGGCTATCCACTCCAGTATTCTTGGGCTTCCCTTGTGGCTTAGCTGGTAAAGAATCTGCCCACAATGCAGGAGACCTGGGTTCGATCCCTGGGTTGCAAAGATCCCCTAGGGAAGGCAAAGGCTACCCACTCCAGTATTCTGCCCTGGAAAATGCCATGGACTATATGGTCCATGGGTTCTCAAAGAGTCAGACACGACTGAGTGACTTCCACTTTCACTTTCTCCGGGGGCTCTTCCCAACCCAGGGATCAAACCTGGGTCTCCTGCATTGCAGGCAGATTCTTTACTGTCTGAGACACCAGGGAAGTCCAACCGAGAGACCAAGACATACAAAATGAGAAGGGGCCTTGGGATTTTCTTAGAAGTTCAATAAAGAGGAATCTGGCTCAGGAAATATGAGTCACCTATAGACAGAGGTCATTTCTTACGAAAAGGACAGCACAGAGCTCAGACTGCAAGTGCAGAAATAAAAAAATAATACTATCTTTCATGAGTTCACGAGTGATAAGCATTTGTAGTCAATGGAGTTTATAAACCTGATACCAGTAAGGACAGATTTCAAAATGAATGACTTTGCTTCAAACAGCTTAAAATGATTTTTCATCATTTCATCATTTTTTTCTGGAATTTAAACTGGCAACATTTATTTCTTAAATAGAGAGGTTTTTACACATAAAATTGACCATCTGGTGATGTCCATGTATAGACTCACCTACTGTGTTATTGGAAGAGGGTGTTTGCTATGACCGGTGTGTTCTCTTGGCAAAAATCTGTTTGCCTTTGCCCTGCTTCATTTTGTACTCCAAGGCCAAACTTGCCTGTTAAGCCACATTCTCTTGAGTTCCTACTTTGCATTCCAGTCCTCTATGATAAAAAGTACACTTTTTTTTCCCCGTGTTAGTTCTAGAAGGTCTTGTGGGTTATCACAGAACTGCTCAACTTCAGCTAAAGAGTTCTAAAGGATAGCACGGAGAGATAAGAAAGCCTTCCTCAGCGATCAATGCAAAGAAACAGAGGAAAACAACAGACTGGGAAAGACTGGAGATCTCGTCAAGTAAATTAGAGATACCAAGGGGACATTTCATGCAAAGATAGGCCAATTAAGGACAGAAATGGTATGAACCTAACAGAAAGCAGAAGATATTAAAATGAGGTGGCAAGAACACAGAAGAACTGTACAAAAAAGATCTTCATGACCCAGATAACCATGATGGTGTGATCACTCACCTAGAGACAGACATTCTGGAGTACAAGGTCAGGTGGGCCTTAAGAAATGAGCAAAGATAGTGAAGGTAATGGAATTCCAGTTGAGCTCTTTCAAACCTAAAAGATGATGCTGTGAATGAGCTACACTCAATATGCCAGCAAATGTGGAAAACTCAGCAGTGGCCACAGGACTGCAAAAGGTCAGTTTTCATTTCAATCCTGATGAAAGTCAATGCCGAAGAATGTTCAAACTACTGCACAACTGCACTCATCTCACATGCTAGCAAAGTAATGCTCAAAATTCTCCAAGTGAGGCTTCAACAGTACCTGAACCGAGAACTTCCAGATGTTCAAGCTGAATGTAAAAAAGGCAGAGGAACCAGAGTACAAATTTCCAACATCCCTAGCATCACAGAAAAAGTAAAGAGAATTCCAGGAAAACATCTACTTCTGCTTCATCGACTATGTCAAAGCCTTTGACTGTGTGGATCAAACAAACTTTGGAAAATTCTTAGAGAGATGGGACTACCCAACTACCCTACTCACCTCCTCAGAAACCTGTATGTAGCTCAAGAAGTAACAGTTAGAACTGGACATGGAACATCGGACTGGTAGCAAATTGGGAAAAGAGCACGTCAAGGCTGTGTATTGTCACCTGCTTATTTAACTTATGTGCAGAGTACATCATGTGAAATGCTATGCTGGAGTAATCACAAGCTGGAATCAAGACAGCTGGGAGAAATATCAATAACCTCAGATATGTAGATGACACCACCCTTATGGCAGAAAGAGAAGAGGATCTAAAGATCCTCTTAGGAGAACATAGGCAAAACACTCTCCGACATAAATCACAGCAGGATCCTCTATAACCCACATCCCAGAATTTTAGAAACAAAGGCAAAAATAAACAAATGGGACCTAATGAAACTTAAAAGCTTTTGCACAACAAAGGAAACTATAAGCAAGGTGAAAAGACAGCCCTCAGATTGGGAGAAAATAATAGCAAACGAAGCAACAGACAAAGGATTAATCTCAGAAATATACAAGCAACTCCTCCAGCTCAACTCCAGAAAAATAAATGACCCAATCAAAAAATGGGCCAAAGAACTAAACAGACATTTCTCCAAGGAAGACATACAGATGGCAAAAAAACACATGAAAAGATGCTCAACATCACTCATTATCAGAGAAATGTAAATCAAAACCACAATGAGGTATCATTACACGCCAGTCAGGATGGCTGCTATCCAAAAGTCTACAAGCAATAAATGCTAGAGAGGGTGTGGAGAAAAGGGAACCCTCTTACACTGTTGGTGGGAATGCAAATTAGTACAGCCACTATGGAAAACTGTGTGGAGATTTCTTAAAAAGCTGGAAATAGAACTGCCATATGACCCAGCAATCCCACTTCTGGTCATACACACCGAGGAAACCAGATCTGAAAGAGACACGTGCACCCCAATGTTCATCGCAGCATTGTTTATAATAGCCAGGACATGGAAGCAACCTAGATGCCCATCAGCAGACGAATGGATGAGGAAGCTGTGGTACATATACACCATGGAATATTACTCAGCCATTAAAAAGAATTCATTTGAATCAGTTCTAAGGAGATGGATGAAACTGGAGCCCATTATACAGAGTGAAGTAAGCCAGAAAGATAAAGACCATTACAGTATATTAACACATATATATGGAATTTAGAAAGATGGTAACGATAACCCTATATGCAAAACAGAAAAAGAGACTCAGATGTATAGAACAGACTTGTGGACTCTGGGAGAAGGTGAGGGTGGGAATGTTTCAAGAGAACAGCATCAAAACATGTATATTATCTAGGGTGAAACAGATCACCAGCCCAGGTTGGGTGCATGAGACAAGTGCTCGGGCCTGGTGCACTGGGAAGACCCAGAGGGATCGGGTGGAGAGGGAGGTGGGAGGGGGGACCGGGATGGGGAATACATGTAAATCCATGGCTAATTCATTTCAATGTATGACAAAAACCACTGCAATGATGTAAAGTAATTAGCCTCCAACTAATAAAAATAAATGGAAAAAAAAAAAAAGATCCTGTTAAAGAAAGAGAAAGAGGAGAGTGAAAAAGCTGGCTTAAAACTCAACACTGAGGAAACTAAGATCATGGCATCCAGTCCCAGCAGTTCATGGCAGATAGATGAGAGAACAATGGAAACAGTGACAGAGTTTATTTTTGGGAGCTCCAAAATCATTGCAGATGGTGACTGCACCCATGAAATTCAAAGACGCCTCCTCCTTGGAAGAAAAGATATGAACAACCTACACAGCATATTAAAAGCAGAGATATTACTTTGCCGACAAAGGTCTGTCTAGTCAAAGCTACGGTTTTTCCAGTAATCACAGATGGATTTGTGAGTTGGACCATCAAGAAAGCTGAGCACCAAAGAATTGATGCTTTTGAACTGTGGTGTTGGAGAAGACTCTTGAGGGTCTCTTGGACTGCAAGGAGTTCCACCCAGTCAGTCCTAGAGGAAACCAGTCCTGAATATTCATATGATGGATTCTGAAGCTGATGCTCCAATACTTTGAACACCTGATATGAAGAACTGACTTACTGGGAAAAACCCTGATGCTGGGAAAGATTGAAGGCAGGAGGAGAAGGGGACATCAGAGAATGAGGTGGCTGGATGGCATCACTGACTCAATGGACATGAGTTTGAGCAGGCTCCAGGATTTGGTGATGGACAAGGAAGACTGGCTTGTTGCAGGCCATCGGTTTGCAGAGTTGGACACAATGGAGCAACTGAACTGACACATAAAATACTAAATGCTAATGAAAGTTTTTTAAAGTGTGGCTATAATTACATTTTACTTTCTAAAGATGCTCTAAACTAATTTTCATCAGTGGTTCAAGATATTCCAGGTTTTGTTAAACCACATCTGACTAAAATAATCCTTGAAAAAAATCCCATGCAAACCCCACCTCTTTAAAGAGAAATCCAACAAAGGAAAAAATATATTCTTTCAGAAAGAAGTATTCTATAGAGACACAGTATTCATTCCTGGTGAAGTGAACAAACAGCAATATTAAAAATGATTCATTCTCTAAAATCTCACAGAAGGGTTTGGATTACAAGAGAAATTCAGAATTTGCAATCAAATCATTGCTAAAATTTCTAGACTCAAACAGATATTTGTGTACCAATGTTTATGGCAGCATTATTAACAATAGCCAGGAAGTGGAAAAACCCCAATTTCATTGACAGAGGAATGAACAAGCAAAATGTGGTCTGTATAAAATACTGCTTTTCGGCTGGATTCTCACAATATTTTAAATTAAAATCTTACTACAAAAATCATTAATTTTATGATTTCAGTCCACTTCTTCTATAAAGAGGAATTATGCTACCAGTAGCAAACAATATCAGTAAAAATACAATAAACTCTTTATTTTTTTCCCAATTATTTTACAATATTGTAGTGGTTTTTGCCATACATGAATCAGCCATGGATTTACATGTGTTCCTCATCCTGAACCCCCCTCCCACCTCCCTCCCCATTCCATCCCTCTGGGTCATCCCAGTGCACCAGCCCCGACACTTGTCTCATGCATCCAACCTGGACTGGCCATCTGTTTCATACTTGATAATATACATGTTTCGATGCTGTTCTCTCACAATAAACTCTTTAATTAAAGAGGTTTTTCACACTGTCCAAAAATATTGTCATATATTACTAGTAAAAAAATTAAAATTCTTCCTCAGTATGACAGAAATTAAGAGGTTGACTTACCAATCTTGTACTTGAAAGGGTTTTCTGAAGTTGTTCAACGTTGTCCACTTGCTTTTTGACTGTAGTTTGTAACTTGGCATTTTCAATTTCAAGTCTAAAATGCAGATTTAAAATAATTATTCTCACACATAGGTGTGTTTTTTTTTTTAAGATTTTTTTTTTTGGACATGGACCATTTTTAAAGTCTTTATTGAATTTACTACAACACTGCTTCTGTTTTATGCTTTGGATTTTTGGCTGTGATACACAGGAGATCTTAGCTCCCTGACCATGGATCAAACCCATACCCTCTGCCTTGGAAGGCAGAGTTTCAACCCCTGAACTCTCAAGGAAATACTTCACACGTAGATTTTTAAAATACCACACTGTTTCTGAACAAACATCTGCAGTTCAATTACAGAGGACCTCAGTATTTTGAAAAGTAAAGGATTTGGCAATTGCACTGCTTTTCTAGTCGTGTTTTTTGGACAATCGGCTTCCCTGGTGGCTCAAATGGTAAAGAATCTGCTGGCAATACAGGAGATCCAGGTTCGATCCCTGGGTCAGGAAGATCCCCAGAACCAGGATATGGCAACGCACTCTGGGATTCTTGCCTGGAGAATTCCATGAACAGAGGACCCTGGTGGGCTATACTCCACAGGGTCATAAAGAGTTGGATGCGATTGAGTGACTAACACTTTCACTTTTCACTTGTGGATAATGTGCAAAATATGGAAACAATGGCGGGGGGGGGAATATGCATCTCAAAACAGCTCAAAGCCGAAATGTTACCCAGCTTCACAGGGATGTGTTTATTATCATTCCTGATTTAATTCTCGTAGTATACTGTTTATCTGCTCTATACTTAAGTTGTTTTCTGGGCCGCTTTAAATCGTACCTTTGGATGTGATCCTGTGGTTTTTCAGCACATCTCACGGCCTCTATATGTTGATCCTGTGATTCTTGCAACTAAAAAGAGAAAAAAGAGGAAAAACAACTGTTGTAACTACTGATAACCTAGCGAATCCGCCATCATCACTTTCTCTTTCATCTGCATATTGCTTACAGCTGCTCTCCTGCCATATAGCAGAGTTGAGTTGTTACAATAGACACCTTACAGTCCACAAACTGAAAATATTTACTGTTTGCCCTTTGCAGGTTACTGACCTCTCCTCTAGCACTCAAATACATCACCATCCATGCTTTAAAATTCATTTTCTCAAATAGACACACAAATTTATAAACTGGAAAAATGGGGAAAGACAGAAAATCACCTTATGGTAACATACATTTTATTTTATTCCAAGCACCACATCAGCCATCACTTTAAACACCCACATATGTGAATGACCACGGATCTTCCAGTGGTTACGAGAGTTAACACTGCCGTTGGTGACAACCAGATGCTTCAGGGACTAGTGCGAGAGGCAGGAGCCCCACAGGAGTTAGAATGCACGGGCCTGTGTTCTAGTTCTGAGCTGTGAGTCCTGGGGCAAATTACTTAACCTTTCTGTATCTCAGTTCCTCCATCCAGAAAATGGAGATAATGGTAGCATCAACCTCAATGGGATGCTGGGAAGATTAAACTGGGGACTTATACATAATGTACTTCGAAGAGGACGTGGCACACAGTAAGAGCCGTTTGTAATTGGCGTTATTACGGTCGCTGTATTTTACCTGTAAAACAATTTGGTATTTCAGGCAGACGGCATGACAACAGAAGTGGTCTTCTACACAAGTCACAGTGAACTCACTCTCCATACCATTGCAAGGGGGCAGGAACGGGGAGCATGAGGCCCAGAACACACGTGTCCAGTACTTGGAAAACGTTCACTGACTCCACTAACCAACTAGTACTTCAGTACTTTTCTCCGCTTACAGTAATTTGTAACTTACTTCCTCTCTCTACTACTCAGTGGACAATGACCACCGCTTACTATGCAAATAGCACCTCCCGAACAGAGTGGTGCAGAACATTACATGACCGTCAGAGGAAGGGTGAAGTCACTGCCGTGGAAATATCACCCGACTGCTAAATCAAAGTTCTGAATCAATTCATTCCCAGCAACTGTTAATGTCTAGCAAGTACTCGGATGAGAAAATTGAGGTTTCCAGGTATGACTATCAGAGAAGCCATCCCCAGAACCTGAGGCTAGGAAGGTTAGAAATCCATAGAGGCCTGAAAGGCTAGATATCCATAAATCCCACTTCTGGCTGCATAATGAAGGAACACAAATTTACGTTTTACTACCTGAGTCGGGGGGGGGAAATGAGCATTTAATTAAACAATTCTCCTCTATTAGACTAAGCACTTTCAATTTTACATTTAATTACTTAAAATGCATTTTAATAAAAGTTTTACTATCCCAGCATCTCCAGGAAGGAATTACTGGTACGGATGGAGTGCTCAGTTGTATCTTAACAACTGGTAAGCTAAGCTATTTCCATTCATGCAAGACACGTGTTCTGCACATGAAGGAATGCTCCCTGTTGGACTAATGTTACTTAGGCAAGATTCCCCCTCGTGAGAAAATGGCAATGTAAAATGAAGGGCTATACTGTACTTCACAGACTAGATGACAGGGCTGCAGAGAAAAGGCTCAGTGAGAACTGGACAGTCAGGAAAGCTCTGGAGGGGGAGAGGCTGGGCACCAGGTCTGAATAAATGGAGGACTACCCAAGAGGAATAGAAACTGTAAAGACAGAAAGGACAGTCTGAGAAAAGGCAAGAAAAGGAGAAATCAGCCAGTGAACTCTGAGGATAAAATCCAACCACAGGGAAATAAAAACATGTCCATCCAGAAACGTGTAAGTCAGTGCTCACAGCAGCATTATTTGTAGCCGCAAAGTGGAAACAACCCAAATCTCCATCAACGTATGAATGGATAAATGGCTTAGCCACGTATTGTTTCTTGTTTGACAATCAACAGAAATGGAAGAACTGATAACGTGTCATAACATGGATGAACAGCGAAAACATGACATCAAATGGCAAAAGTTAACCACAAAGGATCACATACTGTGTGATTCCATTTATGTGAAATACCCAGAACAGGCACGTCCACACAGACGGATATTAGATTGGGGGTTGCCTGGGGCTGAGGGAGAGAAGGGGGCCATAGGTGGTGGCTAAGGGATGCAGGGTTTCTGTTGGGGGCTGATGGAAATGCTCTAAAATTGACTGTGGTCACAGGTGACACCTCTCTAGACTAAGAGATACTGAACTACACACTTGGAACGGGTAAATTATATGATACGTCAATTATATCTCAAGAGCTTTCTAAAAAATCCAAAGGCACGATCTAGATAATGTTAATTCTTTTATTTTGCATGTACATACTATACTCCATCTGAGTACCTCCTTGCTTTTACAATATATCTAAGATGAATAGAAAAGAAGGCAATGCCTATATTCAACTGGTTTGCATAATACCCTTTCTGCACAAGTTATTCTGAAATTCACAAAATAAATATATACAGAACTCTACAGCCATTCACCAAAGGGAAGATGAGAAATGATAATTTTCTGGAAACTTCCATTAAACATTATCCTCTGATTTTACCTGGCTTGCTTCATGACGGTAATACAGCTATCACTAAAAAAAATATTGTTCAATAGAGAAAAAAGTCTCTCAACTTGTGTGAACAATGATGCATATTTCTCCACTTTCCTAAGAGTAAATAACATAAGTAAATAGTATGTAATGCAAATGGCAGAATGACAGGCAGAGTTGAAGAAACGAGTGCATTCTAAAGATAATAAAACTGTAGTAAATTACTTGTAACGAGCATACAAAAGAAAGCTGTCTATGAAAATGAGTGTCCTAAAACACTTTATCCTATATATTAACTGTCGACACATTTACTTTCACACGTACCTGACTTGGGAGTTGACGGAACTTGCTCTTTAAATCCTGTATCTCATCTTCTAAGTTCGCACAGTTACGTGCCATGCCTTCCAGTGCAGCCTCCGACATAGACCACGTTTTGAGCCCATCAGCCAGTTCTTGCCAAAGTTGTCTCATATCTGCCTAATAAGATTCTCTGTCACTGAGTTTACCAAATCACCTTGGTAATTTGTGTATGACGTTGTGTTAATAATAGATAACTCTAACATGCGGACTTTGAAAACCATGACCACACCACAGCAACTCACCTTCTTTTGCCTCCTCAATGAATCCGGTTACAGACACAGAAGGGGCCACCCTCTGCCTTCCTGATACTAAGTTACTCAGACAAAAGATGCAGACCCACTGTCCGTGCCCTGTCCCTCCCAATAAATCTGCAGAGCTTCACCACCTCACAACCAGAAAGAAATGGATGTGAATGTGCAACAAGTGGTGAAAAATTCCACCCTGTGGAACATCTTCCCTCTTTCTTTATTAGAGGCTTTGACTAACTTCAGACATCTTCACATATTCCAACCAGTGCTCAGATCTTTCCAACAGATCCCTATCCCAGCAGAAAAATGAGGCCATTCCCTTGGGGCTCATCCATCTTGTGCCTGGTCGTGTGTCTATGTTAACCCCAGACTCCTAGTCTCCCCGTGCTCCCCGCCTCTGCCCTTGGCGGACCACCAGGCCCCCCTGCGGAGCACAGGGACTCTGCTCAGCGCCCTGCAGTCACCTGCCTGGGAGAGGACCTGGGAGAGAACGGATACGTGTGTAACTGCACCACCGTGCTGGGCACCCGAAACTGACGCAGAAGTATAAACCAACTACACTCCAACACAGAAGAAAAACACAATCTACAAATGAGGTGGCTCCCAAGGCCCTCAGGGAGCCTCGACAGCCTGGCCTCCACCTGCCTCTGGACCGCAGCCCCTGCAGCCCGCTCCCTGACTCCCTCCACTCCTGCTGCTCTAAATCCTGCCACCCTTCATTTTTAGTGGGCAATCTGGTATTCAAATGACAGTAATTGATCCTTAAAATGAGAATTATGAGCAAATTGTTTATAAACATATTCTAAGTTAATAGCATAAATAGCAGTGGGAAGATTAAAACAAGAAGAGCTTGGTTAAAGCTCACCACTTGAGTCCCAAATTATGATTTAATGACAAGTATATTTCAATGACTTGCCAACGAATTCTCAATCAGTGACAATTCTTTAAAGAATTGAGAGGCCATAAGGCTAAATGATTCAAGACTGAAATGTTTTCCAAGTTAATTCAAATTTACATGAATAAAATTAAAATTATACCAACAAGTATGACAAAAAGGTATGACAAGCTACTGAAACCAAGGTACTATATATAAGTGATAGCATCTGGGAACTATGGAATTGACTGTCAAGGTAATCCATGTAACTGGAGCTTAATTTCAGAATACTCATTTTAGGTATGAGCGTTTCTTTTATCTGCTTCATTATTATAGCGACATGTGGTAATAGAAAGATTAAAATTATTATCTTCATAGTAAAAGATTAAATGACTAATACCTGTCTATATTAAAAATTTAGAACTTAAGCTCTTAACATTTCACAAGTGGCACGATGTCTCCACTCAAAGTGAAGCATCTCCCGGGTCTGATTTTTATTTGCTGGATACAAGGTGTGCTTTTAGGCTTGTTTAGAGACCATATATTCACAGCCTGTGTACTTTTTCATTCAACTAGATTCACCATTTAGCCAGAATCAAGAATCGTTTTGAACTTTCTTTCAGGAAGTCTGAGGATCATTTCTCCTTCTGGATACTTACTTCTTCTGCTTCCTCATTTTCATCCTGGCACATTCTCTCTTCTAAATGATTCAATTTGTTGATTAACTCCTTGTTTCTTTCCTCCAGCATCAGATGTTGTTTCTCACTTTCAGCATGAAGATTTTTCACCATCTGCTGAAACTGGTCTTGGATGCTAATGATTGTCTCTTTACTGTCAGCTTTGTTTTGTGCCTCATCCAGGTGCTGTCGGAGCAACATATTTTCACTCTGGAGTTGAGATAATCTCTCCTCTAAGGATTCCTGCTTTCCAAGGTATTCATTCACTTTGCCTTGTTCGTTCTGATCCATGTGTTCAATTTCCTGCTTTTGACACTCTGCTTGGTGTAGGTCTCTCTGGACACATTCTGACATCAAAGTCTTTCCTCTGAGATCATCTCTCGTCTGATGCGGCTTCATTTTTAGCTTATTGAATTGACTTTCCACTTTAGGAAGTTGCTGGGAAGCCGTCTCACTGTTCCTTTTCAGCTTAGTCCCATGGCACTTCATTTGGTCCTGCAAGCATAACCGCTCATCGTGTGCTTTCTGGAAGGCAAGTTCCAGGTCTCTCTGTGACGTCTGACCTTGCTCATGATCGTGAATGGCAGCAGCCAGTCTAGAACGGCAGGATTCCACTTCTGTCTCCAGTCTGTGTCTGCTTTGCCTATTGTTCTCCAGCTCAGAGTTGAGCATTGTATTCTCAGCTCTCAGAACAGTAAGCTGACCAGTATACTGGAATATAGCCTGCGTGAATATTTCCTCTTTCGATTTCATTGCCTGTTGAAGATTTTCAATATCCTCAGAATATTTCTTCTCATTTTCCCGATTCTGATTTTTTACCGCATCTATTTCCAGTCTTAGGCTGGCAATTTCATCCTGCAGCATGTGGTATTTGCGTAACAGACCTTTGGCTTTTCTACCACTATCAGAAACCTAAGTGAAACAAAGGAAACTTGTAGTTAGTACTCAATAAAATGACATTTCATTATTTCCTCTGAAATGAAACACTAACCTGTATGTCTATACAATGAAAAGACTACAACCAGTGGCTCTCCAACCAGAAAAATAAAGGTTTGATACTAACCTCAAACTTCATACAAGCAGAAATTTCCAAACGTTCAAAAACTTAATTGAAGACAATGAATCCATGAAAGGAGAAAGAAATTCCAAGCGACTTTTCAAGAAGCTCAGAACTGAAAAGGCTTTTCTCTGAACCACAGCGAACCCAGAAGGTGTAAAATGAAAGATTTATAGATTTGAGTACACTTAAAACTTGCACCTGATGTGGAATATTTATACAATGGAAAACTATGAAGCCATGAAAAAGAATGAAATAATGCTATCTGCATCAACAGAGATGGACCTAGACATTATCACACTATGTGAGGTAAGTCAAAGACAAATAGTATACCATACTGCTTATATGTGGAATCTAAAATGAATTTATTTACAAAACAGAAAGAGACTCACAAACATAGAAAACAAACTCATGGTCACCATGGGGGAAAGGAGGGTAGGGGAAGGGATAAATAAGGAGGTTGGGTTTAACATATACCATTATATACAGACAAGTGTATATAAAATAACCAATAGGATCTACTGTACAACATTACGGAGAAGGCAATGGCGCCCCACTCCAGTACTCTTGCCTGGAAAATCCCATGGACGGAGGAGCCCGGTAGGCTGCAGCCCATGGGGTCTCGAAGAGTCGGACATGTCTGAGCGACTTTACTTTCACTTTTATGCATTGGAGAAGGAAATGGCAGCCCACTCCAGGGTTCTTGCCTGGAGAATCCAGGCAAGAATGGGGTCGCACAGAGTTGGACACGACTAAAGTGACTTAGCAGTAGCAGCACAACATTAGGAATTACACTTAACACTGTACAAGAAGAATCTGAAAAGGAATGTGTGTGTGTGAGTGATTCACTCAGTCACGTCCAACTCTTTGCAACCCCACAGACTGTAGCCCGCCAGGCGCCTCTGTCCATGGAATTCCCCAAGCAAGAATACTGGAGAGGGCGCCATTTACTTCTCCAGGGGATCTTCCCAACCCAAGGATCCAACCCAGGTCTCCTGCTTTGCACGTGGATTCTTTACTGTCTGAGCCAGCAGGGAAGCCCCATTTGCATAATATACACACACATATACATATAGGTCTCAATCACTGTGCTGTATATCTGAAACTGACGCAATACTGTAAATCAACTGTGATTCAATAAACACCACCACTCGCTACCTTTAAAAACACTGCATCTGATAGCTCCTATACAGCTATTTCACAGCAAGAGCTTTAGCTCTATATGTATTTAAATAGATTATATTTTGCACAGAAATTGTTTTCTTGAGAATATGCTACCTCTCTAACATTTTAATAGGCAATTACAGGCTTTTACCTATTGACAACTGTTTAAGCACTTCTACAAACATCAATTAACTCATTAGCGATAAGGATTCTGGAAAGGAAGAAGTTAAAACTATGTAAGTAAGCTTCAGGCTTTTCACCAGGTCTTCTGACTCTATTAGTCCTCTTATATCAAACCACAGTCACTTCTCTAGTACAAACACATCAATACAAAATAATTCTCCTATTTCATTCATGGTATATACACTAATGGTAAATAAGGTAAAATTTAGAGAGCTCTTAGAAAATCATGATTGTTTTCTGCTGCAGTAACTTTCATTATCTCTTCATACTGTTTAAAATAGTAAGATGGGGGAAATACAATGAGAAACATAATTATCACTAAATGTATACTATGGCATATCCATCACTGTTTTCAAAAGTTCCTTGTACTGAAGGAGGACCCTGCACAGAACAGAGGGTTCGTTTTCTCAGAAGTATAAGAATGACTTCCAAAGTATGGTCTCTGAACTGCCTATACTTTTCCTCCTTACCTTCAGTGGAAGTGATAAATTAACCTAATGATCAAGGAAGGGAAATCACTACTAAACACCAGAATAGCTACTGTTAGTAGCAAGAGTTTTTTTTTTTTTACTTTTTTTTCCTTGGTGGGAGGGGGACTTTTATAAGTTCATTCTGAAGAAACAATTTTTTAAAGTGCACAAAAGTATTTTTACAACTGATGTCGCAGTTTATACGAACTGAAAAACTGCAAACTATGTGAAAAGGCCGTTGACAGGGCACTGGTTACAGAAACGAGAGTGGAGCCAGGGGCGGACTCTGACTGAGACACCGGAGGTGATGCGGCCGAGGAGGGTCGCACACGCTCCCCCCAGAGCACAAGGACATGGCGCGCAGCGCAGTCGACGGCGGAGCACTCGCGGTCTGCCTGGCCTAAACCGCAATCAGGGTCCCGGCTCCTTCGAGACAGTCGCAAAAATTTTGAGATTAATTCCTATGGAAAATATTAAAGGCCTCTCCTTGGATGAGGCCACGGTGTGTCCCTACCTGACTGCTGTAGACAAATGGATTTGAATTACAAATAGCACTTTCCCCAGCTCTTCCCGAGAGCTTTTCGTTGTGGGAGGTCTGCTGCTAGGACCTCTGGGATGGGACCCGGTCCGTGTTTGAGAGGGACACTGGGTGGGGGAGTGAGTTCCTCTGCTCTGAGATGCCACTCGAGAGTTCTGCAGAAGGAAGGACAATCAACTTCAAGAGTGTCTGGTATCTACCAACTGCTGGAGAAATCCACGGGGAGCATTCCTGCAGCTCGCGAGGACGCCAGTTAAACACAGCTGTCCTTGAGGACTCTACTGGGAGGGAGAACCCAGCTGGGAAAGCTGGAGCCAGCTCCGAGCTGCTCACGGGGCAGGTGGACTGAGGGCTGACGGGCACAGAGGGAGGGGGTCCACGACCCTCAGCCACCTGCCAGATGCCCATGGGGAATGCATGTCGCCATCCTCGGAAGCAGTTTCAGATGACTGAGTTAAGTCATCAAGGTCATTCACGTAATTAATTTGGTCTTTGACCTACACATAAATAATACTGTTTCACAATGTCCTTAAAATATGTATAAAATATACCAAGTGTACAAAGGTGATAAATAATCAAAGCAAAAGCAGATGCTTCTTCAAAGAACAGGTTTTATCAACAGGATAACTTTATCAACAGAGTTTCTAAATTATGTTTTCAAAGTAAATGTCTCTTCAACAAAGGAAGATTTTCTATGTTGCCACTATTCTTTTTACAAACTATTTTTTAGAGGATAATATATTTTAAAGTTATTTATTTTTTTCTTACTTTACCTTCTTCTTTTCATATGCTGTTTTCCTTGCAGGCCTAAAAAAAAAAAAAGATTCCTCTCAGGCTAAAATTTAATAACTCAAAAATATAAATAATACTTAAATGTTTTTTTATATAACATCTTTGCATTCATAAGTAATTTCTATAAAAGGATGAAACAATAAAAAAGTAGCATTAAAGGACAAAGAAAATATATCTGTAATATTAATAAAACATTAAATTTAGATTAAAGGAAAAGGAAAAACCTAACATTACTTGCATTATGTGACAGAAGCAGTTTACCAGGGTTTTTTGCAGTTACCATTTTTAATAAGAACTATTATGGCAATAAAACCTATCTCAGAAGTATTCCCTAAGTCCTTATAAGAAAGAAACCCATTTTTTATCACCATGATATTAGCTTTTTGAGGGCTTATTATGCAACGGCTATGCATATTATGCATTTTCATCCTCACGATCATTCTGGGAGAGAGGTAATATATTAGATCCTTTAGATAGGAAGAGATGGAGCAAAGAAAGGCTGAGGAATGTGCCCAGGACCACACAGCAGTTCACCAACAGCCCAGAATTCAAACCCAGGAAATCTGGCCTGAACGCTGCTGTTCCAAAATAGGCTAAGAAAGTGGTATTGAAAAGTCTTTTTAAGTAACATGATACGAAATGAATCTATATTATTATTTCATGTCTAGCTATAACTACAGATGATAATTCTGAATCTTAAAACATATTTCTTTTTATTTATTTATTTTTATTAGCTGGAGGCTAATTACTTTAAAATATTGTAGTGGGTTTTGCCATACATTGACATGAATCAGCCATGGAGTTACATGTGTTCCCCATCCCGATCCCCCTCCCACCTCCCTCTCCGCCCGATCCCTCTGGGTCTTCCCAGTGCACCAGGCCCGAGCACTTGTCTCATGCATCCCACCTGGGCTGGTGATTCTAACAAACAAAAAGGCTAGATGTAGGCAATACTGGAACTCTCCTGTCAGTAAAGATTTGCGTTTGTACAGAGGTTCCCCAGCGCACAGCCATGCCCCGTTCTGCTGTCTCCGCACGCATCTGACACACACTTGCTGAGCACGTCATGTGCGTCAGCGCCGCTCAGTGCAGGAGGCATGGCTTCTGGCACTTAGATCTCTCTCACCCAAAGTAAGAAACTGGAGAAGATGGCTAATTGTTTCTACTGAAAATAAACAAAACCCTCCCCTTTTCCCTGGAAGCTATAAACAACCATGAAGTTAATATGATGTGATGTTTCACAGTACCTTACAAAATCATAGCTACCCACGATGATACTATCAACTAGAATCAACAAGGAATGATTAAATCCTATTCAGTATAACCTAAGCATTTGTAAATTCATGATTATATAATTTTTTAAATGTATGTATGATAGAATTAACTTAAGTAATCATCTACATATTCATTTACATAAGAATGTTACACTTCAGAGCCAATGAACAAGCCCTTACCAAAAACTACATATGAACAGGAGTACATTTGTACATAATAATCATGTACAATAATAATAATGTACAATTAATTTATTGTAATAGTTTAAAGATAATGTCATACAATCAATAAGCTTTCTAATATTGGAAATGCAAATAAGATTAAACTCAACAGACACTTCCTCCACTGGCTCATTTCCAAAAGCATACACACTCTACAAGCTCCCCTCTTAACATGAACCAAGAAACTCCTTTCAACTCCACATTCCTCTTCAGTTACCATCCAGGTCTCCATTCCTGGCCCAGGAAATATTCCCTACGGAGCTGTTTACGTGTGTTCACTGCAGTCCAGCTGCCAAGTGGACTATCTGCTGAAACGACTTCTGGCCAAAGGCACGGGTCGTCTCCTTAACCTTTCTGCCGTGTTCATCCAGTAGAGATGAGGATTCTCTTCTCTTGGCCGGTATGCTATATTATGCTGCTCTATTTCCAGAAGAAGTATTCAGTGCTAATATTTCTTCCCCTAGAAATAAAGAATTTGTCCATGTTACCTGCTATCATCTTGATCCACCTTCCTTAAAATGCTGTCATCGTTCACCTGCAGCAGACCATCAGTCAGTGAATGGATCTTTTCAAATACTGGTGCAATCACACATTCTTCTGGTGTCCATTTGTCATTGTTCTTTTTCTCTATCTCCTTCCTGGGCACACCAGGTTCACTACTTGAAAAAATCCACAAAAAAGTCAATGTTTTCAAATAATTCGACTAATAAAGAATAAAAAAACAATTCTTGTAAAATTCCAACTCTTACCCATCTTAAGTCAATGATTAATTCACAAAACAGTTATGACGTACCAACCATATGCAACAAAACAAATTCTTCCTTCAAACACACATACACAATTATGATACAATATGATATGTAAGAGTTGACGTATGAAAGTGGTAAGTGAACTAAGGAAGGCTTTATGGAAGAAGTGAAGAGAGGAGGTCAAAAGGAAGAGAAAAGTGAGAAATCATTCTACTGGGAGATTAGAATGTGAGTACACAGATCAGGCACACAGCATCTGGGTTGTTTCCTGGGAACCTGGAAGGAAAAGTACAAAACACATGAAAGAAAGTAGAGAGATGCATCTGGAAAGACACTGCGAAGAACCTCAAGGGCTACACCGAAGTCCACTGGCTAAGCACAGTGATTCTTAGACATGGGAGTCATGATTAAGTTTACACTATATATAATCTTCTGCTTTTAAAACCAGTAATGTTTCATTTAGGAATTTCCCTGGTACTCCAGTGCTTAGGAATCTGCCTGCTCATGCAGGGGGCACAGGTTCGATCCCTGGTCAGGGAAGACAGCACATGCCTCACGCAGAGCCATGAATCCTGTGCTCCACAACCACTGAAGCCAGCACCGTAGAGCCCATGCTCAGCATCAAGAGAAGCCACCACAATGAGAAGCCCAAGCACTGCAGCTGCAAAGAACCAGCGCAGCCAAATAAATGATTAAAAAAAAAAACAACCCCACAAAAGAACCTCAAAGAAAAAAGTAACACTTAATTTAGATGATTTTTAAAGTGACATGTGGCACACCCACCGTGAAAGAAGAAATCAAACTTAGTGGGGCAGAGGGGCAGTTTACTTGTAAACCACCCACATGATGGGGCGACGTCAGCATCATGGAGGAAAGGCAGGTGCCCCATCAGTTCTCCTGCCACCAGCAGTAATTTGGCCTCCATCCGTGGACATACTCAAAGTGCTAGGAGGAGAAAACTGCCAACCAAGAGGACCCGATCCAGAAAAGCTGTCTTTCAGAAATGAAGGAGAAATAAAAACTTTCCCAGACAAGGCAAACCTGAGGGAGTTCATCACCACTAGTCTCGCCTCACAAGAAATGCTGAAAGAAGTCCTCAGACTGAAATGAAAGGATGTTCATTAGTGACATAAAATAAATTTAAATATACAACACACTGGTTAAGGCAAGTATGCAGTCAAATCCAGAATACTCTAATATGTAACATGGTGGTATGTTAACAAAGTAACTAGTATTAAGGCTAAAGGATAAGAGTATTCAAAATAACTATATCCCTAGTAAAATATAAAATTCATAAATCACAAACATTAGCTCAAGTTAGAAATCATTTTACAGGAAAATAACAAATGGCCTACTGTTAGATATTGATATAGGCTTACCCATCAGAACCTTTATTCTCCATAGCAGGAAACTCCCGCTTGTTATTTCCTCCACTCTTTCTCTGCTGAATCAATCGACTCTCATCAGCAGCATCGCATACATCGTCTGATACTTCCACTTCACTACTTTTGTGCTTCTTTTCTTCTTCCACCTTTAATGAAAGTTTGACACTAAGAATAATTGCTATTACTTAATTCTAAAGACTCTGTTTTCAATTTATTATTTGACTCAGCATTTGCCCGGATTTTAAGTGATAAAAATATTTTTGTGCTTACATTCATTTTATCACAAGTTACAGAAAGTTTTGTAAAATGTGCTTCTTTCTGTTTTGAGGGAAAGAAACAAAATTCCCAAAATTTCAAGAAAGGCTTTCTTAATAAGATACAATTATTCACATCCAGTCTTCCCCATCTGACTGGCAGAGATAGAAAAATAAAAAACACATCACATATGTCCTCTTCGGTCTTTACCACCTGGATTTTCCACTGAACAGTCAGATGTAGAGGATGTGACACCTTAGTGCCTCAGAAACAGAAAAGAAGCTTTCTTCTTTCTGCCCTAAAGCTATTCTTTCCCCACTGCCTTTTCCAATCCTTTTTTCATTTGGATCCAGGAGACAGCAAAAACCTGATGGTGTTCACTGAAATATATGACCCAAAGTTTACCAAAACACAAAGAGCAGAATGAAACTGAGGAGGTGTTAGTTAGTGTGGAATTCTGGAATATAAGGAATGCTTCCCAATTCCACATTCAATAACCATCCAATTTTATAGCTAGAGGGTATAGAAATTACTATCTACCTTTGCCCCACTATTTACCAATAACTGTTTTAAAATAAAAAAAGGTTAAACGATTTGTTCAAAGCCCCTAAAGTGGCATTCCTGAACATTTTATGGCACCAAAAGAGATGATACAATTCTGTCATCTTGAATCTGATAAAATTACCAAATGAATTCCTCAAATGAATCAGGTAAGTTAAAAGCATGACTTTGGCAAAGTAATTTAATTCGTTAATTGGGGGTAGGGTTCATTCTCCCTTTTCTTTAAAGGAGAGTGGCTACATTTTTCTCTTTTTTTGTCTTACACAGAAGAGCAAGCACGTTTAAAAACCTACTACTGAAGAAAGAAATATCTCACAGCATCTCAAACCTCAGTTTTTCCTTTGGAGATAAACACTTGATTTTTTTCTTTTTTTTTGCTGAGAGTTTATACTATCTATGGGCTTCCCTGGTGGCTCAGATGTTAAAGAATCTGCTTTCAATGCAGGAGACCTGGCTTCAGTCCCTGGGTTGGGATGATCCCGTGGAGAAGGGAACGGCTATCCACCCAATGCTATTCTGGCCTGGAGAAATCCGTGGACAGGGCAGCCTGGCCAGCTATAGTCCATAGGGTCACAAAGAGTCAGACACAACTGACCAACTCACACACACACATACTACCTAGGTGACAAAATCACACATGTCAAAACTTACTACATTTTAGTAAACAACATAGTGAAGCGGTCTCTCTCAAAAGAGACATCTGCGAGTGGTGATTAAAGCATATGTGGGAGTGCATGTATTTGTTATTAAAAACATCCTGAAGTGGCCATGTTGGAAATCTAAGTGCCCAGGGACTGCGGAAAGCAGAGGAGACCACACATATTCAACCACAATGAAGAGATTAGAGGGAACACGTGTTCATGTCCCTTCTCTCAGTTTCTGCTTTCTTCCCATTCTGTGGAAATACAACTTATATTTAATCCAAAAGAGTTAAAAAAAACAACAACTGCAAAACCCTAGTTGATCGTACTCCTTAAACACTTTCCTTGGTGCTTATTCTGGCTCAGAAGGTCACATGGTATGGAGTTTCCCAGTCCATATGAAAGACTGACAGAGACAGAATTAGATTGATTGAAGGACAAAAGCTATGAAAACTTTTTCCTGAATTCCTATTATTTGGATGGCAGAAATAATCTATTTCTACACAATTACCTATTTAGATGACCCCACTTTATTCATAAGTAGAAAATCAAAATGGTCCAGATCACCCACAGAGGGAAAAACCAAAGAAAGAACAAATGAACCTTTACCTCTTCTGGAAGCTGAATTTTCTCTTTTTTCCAAAGCTAACAACACTACTTGTAACATGTCTATTTCATTCTTAAACTTCTGCATATCCTTCTGTCCATTCTTCACTTAGATACACTTTGGATGCTCTGTGACTATTCAGTGCAGAAGAATTCCCATTTTCAAATTCGGGTTCCATGCTTTCATGGTCACTAGCACTGCAATTACCTGCATGCAGTAGCTTCTGGAATCAGTCCTGTATTGGTTTGCTTTTCTTATCAGTATTTTTCACGACAGGAGTACCGTGACTCTTTATTTGAATTATGTGTTTCACCTTACCGGAGCAGACAAGCCACAGACTAGACTGACGTGTCTCTCCAATGTCTAATTTCCGATTCGTGGGATTTTGCCTCATATTGTCTGATATTTGCATATCAAACTCTTGGTCTTCTTTCACTTCAAATGTAACTAACTGCTCCCCTACTTTTTTATTTTCTGCATCATTATAAAAACTCTCCTCATTTTTAATAAACACATGTTCAATATCTAGTTTATCACTTTCAAGGTCTATTTTATTTTCACTGAAACAAAGCTTTGAAGATGACTGACAAGCGTATCCCGGGGACCCATCGTTTATGTGACGAAAAAACATTTTCGAGCCTGGGTTCCTTTTGTTCAGGACATACTTGGAGACATACTAGAGAGACAGACACTCCAAATGCCTCTTTCTCCCCACAATCAGCTATATTATTTGCCGTGTTAGGAGGTATTTCCTTTCTGTTTGCTCCTTCTCTAAGGTGATCACATAGTGGCTCCTCCTTAGGACAGATGATACTTTTCTATTTCTCACAAGTTTCACCTAACTTCTGCTTTAAGTCATTTGTGATGGTTTTAACTTATCTTTGCATTCTAATTTGCCTTGTTTGATCCACATTTTTTCATACTTCTCCACACAAGGAGGCCCTGAACATACAGATCTGTCCTGTCTACCACATTCCTTATTCATTTCTGGTTCTTGAGGCAATTTTTGCAGCTGCAAAAGTGGAAGATTAATTGGGTTGATTTGATTTTCAGGAGTCTTTTCTGTCAGGGTACATGTGTGCAAAATAATATAATCCTTAACTAATCCAGTATGGATAAACAAAAATCAGAAAATCATTAAAATTTCACTGTTAAAACTTCTTAATTTATATGTAACCACTCACAAATCTCCAGATCACAACTAAGAAGTGAAAAATAACTTGCCTTACCGGAAAATAGGAGAAAAACATTAACTCACAAACCCAATTTTCTCACTGTTTGACTGAATTAAACAATTCATACATGTTAAACCTACCAAAAATGAATTAGATGATTTTTAATGTTATAAATGCTTCTTCCCTTAAAAATATTTCACCTCATGATGCCATATATAGGGAGTCCCTACAGCATGTCTCTTAAGGTTTTTGGTTTTCTTTTTTAAGGACTAATATCTGGAGAACAGACAAACTTTATATGACCAGGAGCCAAAATCAAAGAGGAACCAATTCCTAAATTTTCATGTAAATTATATATTATGATAGTGCTATACATCAATACATATTGCCTGCTTACATTCAGTTATGTGTGTGCTAAGTCGTGTCTGACTCTTTGCGACCCCAAGAACTGTAGTCGACCAGGCTCCTCTGGCCATGGGGATTCTCCAAGCAAGAAGACTTCAGTGGGTTGCCACGCCCTCCTCAACCCATGCCTTCCCAACCCAGGGATCGAACCCAGGTCTCCCACATTGCAGGTGGATTCTTTACTGTCTGAGCTGCCAGGGAAGCCCGACAACACTGGAGTGGGTACCCTATCCCTTCTCCAGGGAAATTTCCTGACCCAGGGATTGAAATGGGGTCTCCTGCTTTGCAGGCAGATTCTTTACCAGATGAGCTACCCAGGAAGCCCCAACATCCAGTTATATTATGTTCTCATATCCACCAAAGAAAGTAGATAAAGCATTTTTAGTAATATCTACTGATTTCCCACCCTGAAATAAATTAGAACCTTATTATTTGTACCCTAAAAACAAAGGTCCAATCTAGAAGGTTCGATTCTCTTAATAGGCAACTGGGTTGATTCTATGACCCCACTCTCTCCCGGAATGTTCATCCCTAAGTCAATTACGCCGAGATCACAGGCAGAACGAATCTTTCATCTTGGAGTCAGTGACTGGCGATTTTAATGGAAAATCGCCTTGAGCTACTGGGAATGATTTCTCTTTACATGTATCTAGGTCAGGGGCTGAAATATTGTTCATAATTTCAACTGCTTCATCTTACAATTCAGTCTTTGATATATCACCTTCTTAATCATGTAATGAAGTTATAAAAATGGAAGAAGTAAACAAGTCAGGAAATTTTTTTCCCTCAATTCCAAAGACGAGCTATAAATTCTAATAGATTCTAACAGTATTTTAAGTTGTATAATTAAAGTGCTATAAAAGCTTTTAAATTATTATCTATCAATTCTAAAAGGGTAATTTTGAAAGGCAATTTTATTTGTTATGGACTCTGTTACACACTGTATTGTGTTGGTAAAGCATAGAAAATGGTATTAACCCAGAAATTTAAATTTATCATTTTCCTTACCTGTGAATGGTTATTTTCATTTCCATGAAGTTTTTCTTGTTCTTCCTCTAATATCACTTCCACATCGAGTTCTCCTGACAAATCTGCATGTTTAGTTAAAATTACTCAGAATATTTAGATAAAAGACATAATCTTTATTTAAAACACAGATTTAAAACATTGTACCAAATGACAGCTTAAGTCGAAATTTATCTTCAGATGAATATTTACTTGTTTAAGAAATACTTCCAATGATCAAAAACTTCAACAAGCCATCTGAGAAACACCAGATGTCACCAGGATACAGGCACACAAACACCTCAAAGATTCATTCATGAATTCATCCAAGCATCAGCGAAAAAAACCACTCAGAAACCAAACAAGGTTTCCAAATACAGGACAGACATATAAAGTCACAGTATATTCTCTTCTCAACTTCATCACAGTACCTTTTAACAACACGCCAAGCTTCAACTGCATTATTCTTAGTTTACAAATTCCTCTTACTTTTTATGCTTTTATCAATTCCTTCATCTGAAATGCTTCCCTGTGCTCTTCTGACAAATTACTTTCCATCTTTTCAGACTCAACCTGCTTTGTGAAGTTGCCCTTGATTACAGCTATCTTTCCCCAGATAAACAGCTATCAGCTACCTTAGTACTTCATAGATTTTTCTAGTGTATCTTTATAGATCTCTCTAGTGATAGATATACATCTAAACTGTAAATTATTTCTTGACATGTCTATCCTCTTGGCTTCTAGACTGCAGAGGACAAGCTGTTAAAAATCAACTTAGTATAAATAGTCTTTATTTTTTTCAATAATTGTCTACCTAGGTCTCACAAAGAGTCCCAGACTTCTAAGTATAATCCTGCTATCCACTCTCAGATGAATGCTAAATACTAGCCTAAACGAACTTGCTTCTCCAAATTCTCTTTGTTATTTATTATACTACTATGGTCAGAGGGAGAATGCAGACACCTTGCTAAGAGGTATTGTTTGGCTGTAGGTTGCATAAAAGGAGTCAGCACAAGGTAGGTTTTGCCACAAACTCGAATCCGGATCCGTCAGAATGATGGTAAGGCCGTGCCCAGGTGGCGCACGGCTGAGTGCCCTGGGCTTCTGCATTACCTTGTTTGCTTTCTCTGTTTTCTGGCAGCGGAGACTGGCCCGGGTGATGGGGCATGGAATTCCCTACCAGAAACATCGCTGCGTTTTTCATCTTTGCTTTACCTGTTGTGGTCTTCTGTCCGAGTTCTGTGGGTGCTGACTGATTTTTGGTCACTGATTGGGACACCAACGGACGCCGACCATCAGCTTTCAAATGCCCGGCTCTTTGACAAGTCTCACTGTTGAGGCTCAAACTAGTCGAATCCCAGTCTGAAAAATGTGAAAACAAAGTCTCCGTTTATCAGGATCTGAGTAAGAAACAACTCTGACTACCTCGTACAAAGTCTTTCTTCAGAGAATCAGTTCCACTTCCTCCTTCCCCTGAAACTCACTACTTCTTCAGAGGTGACTCTATCTTACATGTCACTGTCATTCATGAAGAGATGTTAACTAGTGTGTCTCATTTCTTCTACTTTTTAATTTTCTACTATTACTTTGATTCACTCAATCTTTATTACATACTCTGTATTTCATAAGAACTTTATTATTATTTTCCTTCAACATACAAATATTAACAAAATTTATCTCTAATTTATTTTATGTTTAATTTTGCATGATGATTTTGTGTATTCTAGAGGCCATGATTTTAAAAACACTTTTAATGAATGGTACCACTTTAATTAATGGTAGAAACCTAGACAACACATTGAAAAGCAAAGACATCACTTTGCTGACAAAGGTCCATACAGTCAAAGCTCTATATTTTTCAGTAGTCACGTGTGAGAGTTGGACCATAAAGAAGACTGAGTGCCGAAGAATTGATGCTTTCAAATTGTGGTGCTGGAGAGACTCTTGAGAGTCCCCTGGACAGCAAAGAGATCAAACCAGTCAATCCTAAGGGAGATCAACCCTGAATATTCACTGGAAGGACTGATGCTGAAGCTTCAATACTTTGCACACCTGATGTGAACAGCTGGCTCACTGGAAAAGCACCTGACGCTGGGAAAGACTGAGGGCAGGATGAGAAGGGGAGGGCAAGAAGAGGGGTGGCAGACGATGAGATGGTTGGACAGCATTGCTGATTCAATGGAGAGGAACTTGGGTGAACTCCAGGAGATGGTGAGGAACAGAGAGGCCTGGCTGCAGTCCATGGGGTCACAAAGAATCAGGCACGACTTAGCAACTGAACACCACCACCATCAACAACTACTTTAATTTCAACGAGATGGTCTTTCCTCAATGTACATGTAGCTTCAGAACTCATTTTTAAAGCCTTGGATAAACATTATACCCTGGAGAAGGAAATGGCAACCCACTCCAGTACGCTTGCCTCTTGCCTGGAAAATCTCTTGGACAGAGGATCCTGGAGGGCTATAGTCCATGAGGTCGCAGTGGTTGAACACGACTTAGCGACTAAACAAAAACATCATAAACTTACATAAGAAATGATAGCCTTGTGTGTGACTAATTGTTTCCATGTGAAAATAGGTAAGTCTAGGACCACACTGGACCCAAGGAGCACAGAGGGCCATGAGACAGGAATGAATACACCACAAAAAGCTAAAACTGTTAGACCTACATATCTTAAGAGAAGTCAAAGAACAAGAAAGAAATGTAAAAGTGAAACTTAAAACCCTGTGTCAACACAAGGGCCCCTTGATCATTTTACATCCAACCACTTCAATGGTTTAAAACAGTGGTTCTCAAGTGTCCCCTCAGAATCGCTGAAGTCCAGAGACCCATCGGGTCAGGGGGTCCAAGAGGTCACAACTCTTTTCACAACAACACTAAACGTTACTTCCATTCTCATGCTGTTCTGAGGGCACATTGTTCAGAGACACGATGTGTGGCATCATAACACTAAGGACTAATGGAATTAGCAATTATGATGGTGTGTGCTTATATTTTAAGTTTTTCCGTTTTATTTTCCAATACAGTGAACAACAATAGACTTAAACAAAGTTCCTTGGCATTCTCAATAATTTTTAGAAGTATAAAAGGATCCTAAAGCCAAAAACTTTCAGAATCCCTGTTTTGAAAGATGTCTATCGAATCTAAGGTATGATTATTTCCCCTACTTCTAATAATCAAAGACACCACACACACACACACACACACACACAGTCTGCTAATCAAAACATCCGATTGGCCTACATTCATCTGTGTAAGAACACTAAAATGAAATAATTATAAGCTGAAATACAACTGACATATTAGCAAGTGAAGCTTTACTCTAGGGAAAGATCAGAGCTCAAATAAGCATTTTTGGACACCGGAAAAATCTTAGGGTCTAATAATTAATCTCTGAGAATTCGGGAGAGTAGAGAGATTCCAAACAGAGAACTTAATGGGTATCGAAACATATACAGAAACATCTTGAGCTCAAGCTTACATTTTAAACATTTCTTGTTCATATGCTTGTAAATATCTTTTTTTTTCAAAACATGGATACCAACAATTACATTTGCCTCATGTATGTCCAATTCTTCAATTAAATTTGCAAAAAGAAGATAGGAGTACGAAGAGCTGGCATTTCAAATATTTCAGTGTCCTTCTTCCCAGAAGGGACTTCCCTGATGGCTCAACGGTAAAGCGTCTGCCTGCAATGCAGGAGCCAGAGTTAAGTGCGTATCGCAAAATTTACCTGAATTAGATGTTTGTGGATCCTTCGTTCCTACTGTTTTATTAGGAACAGAATCTTCCACTCCGACTGTGGGCTGAATGGGTTTGGAAACAAGTTCATTAATAAATAATGTGCATATGATACAATCCACAGTTCATAAGTCAAGATAATAGCATAAACATTTTTACCTTCACATTAGGATACTTCTCAGGAGACTCTAAAAGGCAAAAGGAACATAGAGTTAATCACATGTAAATATGAAAGCCAGCCGTACATTCATGCAGAGTTAGTACCGAGCAGAATCCTCGTGCTCAGCCTTGACACTGAATACATTCGGTTTCAGTGTCTTGTTTCTAGGGAGATGTTAGGACACTGGCAAGAGAGACATATGAATCCATTATAGATAGTGAAGAAAAACATAGCAATACAGGTTTACCAAAACATGCAGTAAGATTTCAAAAGTAACATCATGTTTTCAATGACTTTGTAGAAAATATTAAAGAGCACACAGACCAATGTGAACATGCTGACTGATGAGGAGAAAATTAATCTTAATCAGAGGAGCAAATCGTGACCCCAAGGAGATAAATGTGAAAGCTGACGGTAAAATGCAACAGTATATCTTGAATGCAATACAGCAGTAACAGTTACACCATTATACAAGTATTTAACATGTTCTTCAATCTGTCCAGTCATTTAAGAAGTGCACAGTTGGGATGACAGTTCAGCCAAAAATGTAATTCATTTCTCATCAGAGAAAGCAATGACCTGATTAGCTCAAATAGACACTTGTAGAAAAACGTTTCATAAAAGTATTCATTTTTTTCCATACCCACATGGGCTGCTGGTATGCCTGCATGTCTGGGCTCCTCTAGTTCAGCCATCTTAAATTTTCTCAATCCACTCACGGAAGAAGGCATATAAGACACACCTACAAAATAATGCCCAATAGATTCTCAACATTGAAATACAATGATCAGAAAGGAAATAATAAGTTTAGTTGCCACAGAATTATTAGATGTTAAAAATCTTGCATGTTTTAAAATCAGTGTAGTATTTCTTGAAAATAGCAATTCTAGCATTTAGGGAATGAACCCTATCAATCTGTTTTGTTTCAAAACTTAGTTTGGTTGGGTACATCATGCTAATGCTTAAAAGGATTTCTGCGAAACAACTGTCAAAAAATCAGTTATCTTATAAAAAACAAGTCAATCCCTCCATATTCAAATTAATCTAATTTGAATAACAAATACCAGTACAACATATATCTTTGATGTCTATAGTTACTTGGAGTAGCTGGGGTTGACCCTACTTCGAGCACCCCCTCCCACCTCCAGGATTCTCTGGAGCAACAGTGATCTTATCTCTTTTCAGGGTAAATACACTGAAGTCATCTAGAAGGCGCTCTCTCAAGTGTCCTCATCAACTCCAAACTCACCTCCCTAAAGCCTTCCTTTCCTCCCTTTATCCTTTCACTAGAGTCTTTCCTCTATAAAGGGTAATCTCTGGATCTGTGGTCTTAATTCTTCCCCCTTTACATTCTTTCTATGGATCATCCCACCACTTCTTTTTCTTCTTTGCTTAGCAATGGTATCTCACACCTATAATTGTACTTCGACTCTTTGCTTCCCTCTGGCTATAGACATGCTCAGAAAGAAAAACAAAATAATGCTTTTCCTTGATCCGGTTATGTCCTGCACTAGCCAGTTCTCTTCTTCCAGATTTCTCTAAATGCAAGGCTACACCCTTGCTTGTTAGAAACGCAGAATCTCACACCTTGTGCTCAGCATGTCCACTTCACACAGGGTCCCCAGGAGCCTAATTAAAATTTGAGAAACTCTGGTCTATACAGAGTCTGCTTCTACATGACTTCAACTTAATTTCTTCTCCTGAAATCTTAGCCTCAACTTCCTCACTCTAACACTTCCCCCCAGACTGAGACTGCATTACAAGTTGGAAACTTTGCAGTGGACTCTCGATCAGGCTGTAGGTGCCTTGATCTCCCTATCATGTCCCCCGCTCTCTCCTTTCCAGGTCTCTTCTTTTGGCCTATGTGACACCATCCTATAAAGAGGCGACATTTGGCATGATGTCAAGTTGCAAACATTTACAGCTGAGCACCTATGCCCATGTTCCTCCACAAAGGATGACGCACAGCTCTGCATGCCCGGGGACCTCAGTCCTGAATCCTCCGTGACACTGAGGAAAACAGAAAGTGGGGAACACTTTGCTGCTCTTCTCTGGCAAGTGTAGGTGCTGGAAGCTCACTTCACACTCACCATCCGCGTCAAACACTCCCTTTTCCTAAAGACCTATCTTACGTATGGCCCCGTCCCCCATAGGCCCTTGCTTCTTTTTCCTTCACGTCCTCCCTGTGCCCTCTGCCTCTCTCATCCTTCATTCCCTCTTTCCTCTTATTTCTCGACTGTCCTTTGGTGGTTGAGTATCTTGAAACAGAACCAATACTTTTTTCTTTTGTCCATGTGCCAGGTGGAGTCTTAGCTCCCTGACCAGGGATCGAGCCTCCACCCTTGCACAGGACAGTCTTAACATTCAGACCTCCAAGAAGTCCAGGAACTAATAATTCAGCTCCTTAAACTGGATTCTCAATTTCATCTGTGCCTGACACCTGATAAGATACACAATTTCCCTCCTCTTCTCATCTTTTTCCTCCCTACGCATCTGACAGGTGTTGTTTTTGTTTTTTTTGCCTGTTAGAGTATTCCCATTATAAATCAATGTTCTGTCAAATAACCTTTCTATAAAATACAGTTCTTACCTTCTGTTTGTCCATTTAATGTATTGTTTCCTCTTTGATCTCCAGATAAATGATCCACAAACTTCTGTGGAACACTCTCAGAGATACTCTGTTAAAATAAATATTGAGTTCCATGAAGGTTTCCTAATGTCTTCTTAAGAAAATACCCTACTTTTAAAAACTGCCTACATTTAATCCAGTTAAGACAGGTTTTGCCAAGATCTCACAGCTCCAAATGACAGAACCTGGATGCTGACTTCATACACTGCTGGATCACCAGGCAGTGGCTGCCAGCACTGAAGACATCAGGCCCTTCCTATTTCCTTCCATAGCTGCCACCTTCAAACAGGGCATCGTTACTTTATGTTACCTCAGGGACGGCTGCCATAAAGGTACTCTGCCCTGCTACTTCAGTTTAGTCGCTCAGTAGTGTCCGACTCTTTGCGACCCCATGGACTGTAGCCCGCCTAGCTCCTCCATCCATGGGATTTTCCAGGCAAGAGTACTGGAGTGGACTGCCATTTCCTTCTCCAGGGGATCTTCCCGACCCAGGCATCCAACCTTGGTCTAATATGTTGTAGGCAGACACTTTACCGTCGGAGCGACCAGGGAAGTCCCCCTGCTATTTAAACAATCCAAAATGGTTTGTACTTACTAAAACACTGCTAAAGCAAACTGTTGTTATTAAAACCCCACATATTTATTACTATTCCCCATGCTTCTGCTTCTATAGAAACGTTTCTTTCCAGATTAACCTGACAATCCAAACACAGAAACACTTTCAAGTTTCAAGCACCATCTTTCAAGGTCCAAGTGATAAAAAACCACAATTCAACCTGTTTCTCTCTGACCCTCTCTAGCAGTTTTACACATGCATATGTGTAAAGAAACATATGTACCAAAGAAACATACCTTTGGCTGGGAGATTGGGACTGACACATACACGCTACACACTATGGTGTATAAAACAGATAACTGATGAGGACCTGCTGTCTAGCACAGGGAATGCCACTCAACATTCTGCAATGGCGCATATGGGAAAAGAATCTAAAACAGAGGTGATACACACACACACACACACACACACACAAAACAAAGAAACATGCGGCCATGGACTGACCTGAAACATATTTCAATATTCAGATAAATGTAACTTCAGAACTCAAACGGATTCCTTATGATCTCTAAGCCTTGGTTTCTGTACTACACTGACTTCATTACGTGAATCTTGCAAATGAACAAAAGTGTACTATGTGGTAATTTAGCACAGAAAATAGGTTAAAAGTAAGAACAAAGTTTTGATGGGGAAACACAAAGGTGAGAAAGTCACAGCATCTCCCGCTTTTATGTTCTTATTACTCAGGGCTTACATTTCAAAATAGTAACAGAAGACAGTACCTCAGAATCCCAAGGTGATTCTGTATTTTCCTCTTCTCCCAATCCTACGGCTGACATTATGTCTATAAAATGCATCACAGATACATTAATGAGAACATTCACTACTATGAATTTTAAAGACATATGTAAGTCTATCTCTATCCACAAATATTTCAATAAAATAAAGTAGTGGAAAAGAATTTCAGAGGGTTGAAGCAATTTCAGGAAGAAAAAGTTGGTAGTAGGTGGGACACTTCTGAAGAAAGAGAGCAAAAGAAATGTACTTCAAACAAAATGGATATTGTATTTGCATCCATACCTTTTACATGTTTTTATATTTGCTTTTAAGTATAGAAAAAATTCACAGACATTCACTAACTTACCACTTTTATTATTTTTGTGTGCTCTATCAACAGAAGTCAAATGGTCATGATTTGCTTGTTCTTGGGGAGCCCTTTCAATAATATAAGTATCACTTTCTTTTTCAACAAGTTCTGGCTTTGTGGCTCCTTCCTATAAAAACAAGACAAGATAAAACCAAAACCCAACCTCAGAGAACATATTCACTCATTCGGTCATTCAGGGCATCAGTAAGACGACAAGCGCTCACTCTGTCTAGGACATCCTCAGCACGTCCGGGAGGAGTTAGAGCTGTGAAGAAAAGCGACTCTGCTCTGCCTGGGTGAGGCAGAGACACATGAAAACAAACAAGAGCAGAAGAGGATCCTTCGGCAGCTCTGCAGCTGAGGGGCACAGAGTGCAGGACAGGCTCCAAGCGGAGAGGAGGCGGGAAGACCCGCGAAGCTCACGGAACGCTGGGACAGGGGCTGTGTCTCAGAGACAGAGCGTGTGCAGCCAGGATGGGAGGGGGGTTCTAGGAAGGGCGGCCCAAACCCACAGATGCGGTGTGCACCAACGTCAACAACTCATGTGGAAAACACATCACAGTTACTGGGAACTGTATCGAGACAAACCTGGAGGACCAGGTTCACACAGGAAAAGGCAAGTGTCATCTTCTTCCTTCAAGTGACGGGGATCTACTAAACAAGTAAAGGCATTACATCATCACAAAACTATTTTATTTTATTTGGTGCCATGCTTTTATTCAAATGAAAGGGAAAAGACTGCCCTGCACTAGGAAGTACCAAGTTCAATTTGGTTCAGTCGCTCAGTCATGTCCGACTCTTTGTGACCCCATGGACGGCAGTACGCCAGGCCTCCCTGCTCATTGCCAACTCACAAAGTTTAGTCAAACTCATGTCCATTGAGTCAGTGATGCCATCCAACCATCTCATCCTCTGTCGTCCCCTTCTCCTCCTGCTTTCCATCTTTCCCAGCATCAAGGTCTTTTCTAATGAGTCAGTTCTTCACATCAGGTGGCCAAAATTTCAGCTTCAGCATCAGTCCTTCCAATGAATATTCACGACTGATGTCCTTTAGGATGGACTGGTTGGATCTCCTTGCAGTCCGAGGGACTCTCAGGAGTCTTCTGCGACAACACAGTTCAAAAGCATCACTTCTTTGGCACTCAGCTGTCTTTATAGTCCAACTTTCACATCCATACTTGACTACTGGAAAAATCATAGCTTTGACTAGATGGATTTTGTTGGCAAAGTAATGTCTCTGCTTTTTAATATGCTGCCTAGATTGGTCATAACTTTTCTTCCAAAGAGCAAGTGTCTTTTAATTCCATGGCTGAAGTCACCATCTGCAGTGATTCTGGAGCCCAAGAAAATACAGTCTGTCATTGTTTCCACTGTTTCCCCATCTATTTCCCATGAAGTGATGGGACCGGATGCCATTATCTTAGTTTTCTGAATGTTGAGTCTTAAGCCAACGTTTTCACTCTCCTCTTTCACTTTCATCAAGAGGTTCTTTAGTTCTTCTGTTTCTGCCATAAGCATGCTGTCATTTGCATGTCTGAGGTTATTGATATTTCTCCCAGCAATCTTGATTCCAGCTTGTGCTTCATCCAGCCCAGCGTTTCTCATGATGTACTCTGCATGTAAGTGAAATAAGCAGGGTGACAACATATAGCCTTGATGTACTCCTTTCCTTATTTGGATATTTGGCCTTGGAGTACAGAATGAAGCAGGGCAAAGGCTAAGAAGAGTTCTGCCAAGAGATCGCACTGGTCATAGCAAACACCCTCTTCCAACAACACAAGAGAAGACTCTACACATGGACATCACCAGATGGTCAATTCCGAAATCAGGTTGACTATATTCTTTGCAGCCAAGGATGGAGAAGTTCTATACAGGCAGCAAAAACAAGACCGGGAGCTGACTGTGGCGCAGACCATGAACTCCTTATAGCCAAATTCAGACTTAGATTGAAGGAAGTAGAAAATATGACAGTATTTTACAGGAGGGCATTAAAGAGGAAAAAAAAAACAAAAACCTATAAGCAAATTTCCACAGTGGACAGTAAGCACACTAGACACTGTGCATGACCCAAAGTGTGCATGAAACTGCAATTAAAAAGCTAATTTGGCTTTAAAAACAGCCAAACAGAAATGGTAACAGTCACTCTAAAACAAACTGCACAGCCAGGAGGAATGAAAAGATTAACAAGTATATTTTAGAAAGACTACTCTGGCAGCAACATAAAAAAGAACATCAGGGTATCCAAACTAGAAAAGAATATTTCAAGATTATAGGTGAGATAGTGAGTTATGGTGATAAGATATGAAAACTGATAAGCAGGCAGAAAATACTGAACTTCCTGAGTGACTGGAGCTGGTAATTTCAAGGAAGTTTGGAGTCTAGGATTTTCCTGCTGTGGCAATTCAGTGATGCGGTCTACTAGGATGGGGAGGACAGATGAAGGGATAGCTTACAAAGAGTCAGGGATGAGGGACGTGTCAGGGACAATGCCTTCAGTTTGGGGTGTAATAAATTATTTTGAGGCATGCAAGGGACTCAGAAGAAAGGATGTGGGTAAAAACATTTGAATTAGAAATAGATAAACTTATTCAGGAAAAACATATACTTTAAAGATAATTATTTGTAAAAGATACTAACTTGGTATAATTAATGCAAACCTAGGCAGAATTCTGAACCTTAGAAAATAAAACAATACCAGGGAAAGAAACAATACCAAGAAAACTATGAGATTAAAATGGTCAATTATATATTTCAACATGTTTCAAGGATATAAAAATATACTTTTAAAAATATATGCAAATACTCATTTCTGTCATATTACCATAATAAGCATTTTTAAGTTTAATAAAAAGGTTTAATTGTAAAACACCAATTCAAGATACTACAAGAAGACTCTGTTTTAAAATTGATCTCAAAAGCCAAGTTTTTATTTGTAGAAGAGAAATGCTTATGTGAGGATGGAATTATGAGGCATTTTAAAGTACTACTATGACGTAAGAAACAAACAAAAAACCCTACTTGAAAACATCTCATTCTAAATTGATGGAGAAATCAAAAGGTTTACAGATGAAACAAAAGTGAAGAGGATTTAGCACCACCAAATCAGCCTTACAACAAATCCTAAAGGGACTTACAGCCAGTAAACACAAGAGAAAGGAAAGATCTACAAAAACAAACCCGAAACAATTAAGAAAATGTCAACAGGAACATATATATCGATTATTACTTTAAATGTAAATGGATTCAATGCACCAACCAAAAGATACAGAATAACTGAATGAATACAGAAACAAGAGCCATATATATACTGCCCACAAGAGACCTGCTTCAGACCTAGAGACAAATACAGACTGAAAGTAAATGGATGGAAAAAGATATTCCATTTGAATGGTAACCAAAAGAAAGCCAGTGTGGCAATCCTTATTTCCCACAAAATAGACCTTAAAATGAAAAATATCATAAGAGACGAAGAAGGACACTACATGATGATCAAAGGATCAATCCAAGAAGAAGACATAACAATTGGAAATATTTATGCCCCCAAGATAGAAAAACCACAATGCACAAGGCAAACAGTAACATGCACAAGAGGGGAATTCAACAGCAACAGAGTCATAGCGGGGGACTTTAACACCCCACTTACACCAATGGACAGATCATCAAGACAGAGAATCAATAAGGAAACACAAAACTTCAATGAAACATTAGACCCAATGGACCTAGTTGATATCTTCAGGACTATCCATCCAAATGCAGAAGAATACACTTTGTTCTCAACTGCACATGGAACATTCTCCAGGATAGACCACATCTTGGGCCACAGATCAAGCCTCAGTAAATTGTAAAAAATGGAAAATGCATCACGTATCTTCTCTGACCACAACACTATGAGACTAGATATCAATTACAGGAGAAAAATGGCAAGAAACACAAATTCATGGAGATTAAACAATTCATTATGGAATAATGAAAAGGTTATTGAAGAAATAAGCAGGGAAATCAAAAGTTTCCTAGAAACAGATGACAACAAAAACACGACCACCCAAAACCTATGGGATTCAGTAAAAGCACTTCTAACAGAGAAGTTGATAGCAGCACAATCCTACCTCAAGGACAAGAAAAGCACTGAACAGGCAACACTCTACATTTAAAGCAGCTGGAAAAAGAACCAAACCCCCTAAAGTCAGCAGAAGGAAAGAAATCATACAGATCAGAGCAGAAATACATGAAAAAGAAAATGAAGGCAACAACAGCAAAGATTAATCAGACTAAATACTGGTTCTTTGACAAGATAAGCAAAATGGACAAACCACTAGCCAGATTCATCAAGAACAGAAGGGAGAAAAATCAAATTGACAAGACTAGAAATGAAAAAGGAGAGGTTACAACAGACAACACAGAAATGAAAAGACAACACAGAAATGAAAAGGATCGTAAGAGAACGTTATGAGCAACAATACGCTCATAAAAGGGACAACTGAGAGGAAATGGACAGATTCTTAGAAAAGTTCAACCTCCTAAAACTCAATCAGGGAGAAAGAAAAATGACAAACAAGCCAATTACAAACACTGAAATAGAAAGTCTTATCCAAAATCTCCCAAAAACAAAAGCCCAGGGCCAGATGCCTTCACAGGGGAATTTTGTCAAACATTTAGAGAAGAGCTAATGCCTACTTTTCTGAAACTCTTCCAAAAAATTGCAGAGGAAGGAACACTTGCAAACTCATTCTATGAGGCCACAATCACCTTGATACCAAAACCAGGGAGAGACAACACAAAAAAGAAAATTACAGGCCAATATCACTGACAAACACAGATGCAAAAATCCTCCACAAAATACTAGCAAACACAATTCAACAACACATTCAATAGCTCATACACCATGATCAATTTGGGTTTATGCCAGGGATGCAAGGATTCTTCAATATGCACAAACCAATTTCAATGTGATGCACCATCCTAACAAACTGAAAAATAAGAACCATGTGATCATCTCAATAGAGGCAGAAAAACCCTTTGACACAGTTCAGCACCTGTTTATGACAAAAACGCTTCAAAATATGGACACAGGAGGAACCTATGTCAACACAGTAAAGGCCATATAGGATAAACCCACAGCAAACATTATTCTCGATGAGGAAAAATGAAAAGCATTCCCTCTCAGATCAGGAACAAGACAACATTGTCCATTCTCACTATGATTATTCAGCATGGGTTTGGAAGTCCTAGCTATGGCAATCAGAAGAAAAAGAAATAAAAGGAATCCAGATCTGAAAAGAAGTAAAACTCTCACTGATGCAAATGACATGATGCTACACATAGAAAACCCAAAAGAAACTATTCTCTGGTAAAAAAAATTACTAGAGCTAAACAGTGAATTTAGCAAAGTTGTATGATACAAGGTCAATACACAGAACTCACTTGAATTCCTATACACTAACAATGAAAAATCAGAAAGTGAAATTAAGGAGCCAATCCCATTCACCACTGCAACAAAAAGAGTAAAATATCTAGCAATAAACCTACCTAAGGAGACAAAAGAGCTGTATATGGAAAATTCTAAGAAGCTGAGGAAAGAAAAGAAAGATGACACAAACAGGTGGAGAGAGATTCCATATTCCGGGGTAGGAAGAATGAATAGTGTGAAAATGACTATACTACCAAATGCACTCTACAGATTCAGTGTGATCACTGTCAAATTACCAATGGCATTTTTCACAGAACTAGAATCATATATGCAATGGAATATTACTCAGCCATCAAGAGGAACACATCTGAGTCAGTTCTAACAAGGCTGACAAACCTAGAGCCTATTCTCCGGAGTGAAGCAAGTCAGAAAGAGAAATATAAACATCATATACTATTCGCACATATATGGAATCTACAAAGATTCTGAATCTACAAAGGTACTGATCAATTTATTTGCAGGGCAGCAGTGGAGAAACAGACATAGAGAACGGACTTACGGACATGGAGGAGGGGAGGAGGGACAGGGTGAGATGGATGGAAAGAGTAACATGGAAACTTACAATTTCATGTGTAAAATAGAGAGCCAGTGGGAATTTGCTGTATGACACAGGGAGCTCACAAAGGGACTCTGAGACAATGTAGAAGGGTGGGATGGGGAGGCAGACGGGAGGGGGTTTGGGAGGGAGGGGACATGGGTGTACCTATGGCTGATTCTTGGTGATGTTTGACAGAAAACAACAAAATTCTGTAAAGTGATTATCCTTCAATTAAAAAATAAGTACATTTTCTAAAAACCCCATTTGAAAATTTCGTTGTTTTCTTCCTATTTCCCTGTAAACAGCACACTAACGGCTCTAATTTTCTATCTATGCCTTCTGCGATGGCAGATAAAGACTGAAGGAACAGGCTAGATATTAAAAAAGCAGTAAAGCTATGATTATCCAAGTTGGAGATTTCAAAGTTTTCAAATACATCTATGATTATCAAGCAGGATTCAATATTCACATCAGGAAAGAACAAATAAGCTGAAAAAATCAAGTAACCACAATGACTGAGTTTTAAATATGGAAGAATTCGCATTTTTGTTTAACATGTATAAGAAAGAACTGATATGCTAATTTAACACCTATAAATACTGAAGCTAATAAAGTTTCTTAAAAATAAAACTTAGCTTAAAAATAACTTCTTAGAAAAACCATCTTAAAATTTTATTCTTTAATAAAATTCTTAAAATGGAATATACATATTACTAGAGATATTTTAAAAAGTAAAAAAATTATCTTTCTGAGACCATTTTACAAACTGTTGGTAATTCTTCTTTCCTTATGATTTTATAACAAGTAGTCTACATAAGAAAAAAATCATGAACTGTGATTTCATTCATTTAATATGTGTAATTGCCCATTACTTGCAGATGTTAGGAAAATATAAATCAGAATCTCTCCGTAGGTGGGAGGGGGGAAGTCTACATTTTTTTCTGTAAGACTGCTGCAGCTTAAAATTTTCTTATGTCATGAAGAGAGTTTAAGAATCTCATTTATACAATTATAAATTAGAAGTTCAGTAAAAGAGAAGATAAAATGCTTACTTATTTCCTCTTTATTTTCAAAAAGATCCAAAACCTCCACCAAGACTATACCAAACAGTAAGATAAATTAGTTAAGTACCTTAAGTATGTATCAAACAGTAAGTTAGTAACCACAAGAAACGGAAGGGCCACAAACTGTTCATTCATAATACATCTGCTAAGGCCTAAAACAGAGCTCAGCTAGAACTGCCTACGAATGAAAGTTTTGCTAGATTAAATAGAAGACATTGCTTCATTCATTTCAAAGTGAGAATTTTTTAAAAAAGAGTAATCACTTCAACTTGACATGAACTTCCAGAGGGAGCTTTATTCAATATAGATAAATACATATACAAGTGTAACCAAGTCACATTGCTATACACCTGAAACTAACACAGTATGAAAATGACTACACTTCATCTAAAGAAAAAAAACCAAAAACCACCACCAGCCTCGAAAACAACCACCAAAAAAGCTAAGGATCAAATTTTGTTTCAGTTCTTCATAAAACTCAGCTATATGTCATTCAGAAGAGTCGAAGTACTGAGTTTTCACGACCTCACTCTCTCCTAAGTTGAATTTGAAATAATTCATCTCATATTTATAATATAGAGTACCTCATCTGACTTACCCTCACTATCTCTGTTGTGTTTGTAAAATAACCTCTTTCATCTTGACCTTCATTCCATCTCATATTCATCTTATCCTTCTTAAATGAATTCTTCCCCTTCACTGCCCTCCCCATCTTCATATTCATCTAGCTGTTTTTCCTAATTGCCTTCTAAGTCTTTTCTTTCAAAATGGCATACTTAGTATGCCAACATTTGTAAATCTGAATCATGCAGATATATTGCTCTCATTATCACATCATTTTGTACTGTGACTTTGGAGCCTTCCATTTCCACGGTGGAATCCTTCTTGTCATCATAAGGATCACGGGAACGGCGTGTGGAAAGTACAGGGGAAGAAAAGAGTTAAAAACAGCACAACTTACCTGTGCCAGACCAAGGCCGGCTGGAGTCTCGAGTGGTTTTGGAAGAGGATCAGGCCTTGGAAAGGCAGGATGAGGGAAGCCCTGGACTCCAGGTGATGGTTTGGGAAAGGTTTCAAGCACATCTTCAATGTCACTATCAGAATTATTGTTCTCAGAGAAGGTGGTACTCTCCCGTCTCGCAATGCCACATTCTGCTTCTAATACAGTAAAAACAGGGGAGAGTACATGAGAACCTGTGTAATTTCAAATCAGTGAATAACACCAGGAGGACAGTCTTCAAATTACTTACCGTTTCTCTTGGATTGCTGAAAAGCCTTCAGTAGCTTTGCTAAGTTTGCTTTCGGGACATGCTGGAGAAGAAAATAAGAGCTTGAAGAATAGCAAGTATCAACTTGAATAAAAGAATTATAATCCCCCACCCCCCATTACTGTATGATCTAACACAAAGAGCACAGGCTCTGGAGTCATTCAGACGTGGGTTCAGATCCCAGTTCGGCCACTGACTAACCTGCAGGCACACTGAAGCCACAATGACAGAAAACCAGCCAATCTGATCCCAGGACCACAGCCTTGTCTCACTCAGTGAAACTGAGCCATGCCGTGTGGGGCCACCCAAGACGGACGGGTCACGGTGGAGAGGTCTGACAGAATGTGGTCCACTGGAGAAGGGAATGGCAAGCCACTTCAGTATTCTTGCCTTGAGAACCCCATGAACAGTATGAGAAGGCAAAATGACAGGATACTGAAAGAGGGACTCCCCAGGTCGGTAGGTGCCCAATCTGCTACGGGAGATCAGTGGAGAAATAACTTCAGAAGGAATGAAGGGATGGAGCCAAAGCAAAACAAGACCCATTTGTGGATGTGACTGGTGATAGAAGCAAGGTCCGATGCTGTAAAGAACAATACTGCACGGGAACCTGGAATGTTAGGTCCATGAATCAAGGCAAATTGGAAGTGGTCAAACAGGAGATGGCAAGAGTGAATGTTGACATTCTAGGAATCAGCAAACTAAAATGGACTGGAATGGGTGAATTTAACTCAGATGACCATTATATCTACTACTGTGGGCAGGAATCCCTTAGAAGAAATGGAGTAGCCATCATGGTCAACAAAAGAGTCCCAAATGCAGAACTTGGATGCAATCTCAAAAATGACAGAATGATCTCTGTTCGTTTCCAAGGCAAACCATTCAATATCATGGTAATCCAAGCCTATGCCCCAACCAGTAACGCTGAAGAGGCTGAAGTTGAACAGTTCTATGAAGACCTACAAGGCCTTTTAGAACTAACACCCAAAAAAGAAGTCCTTTTCATTATAGGGGATTGGAATGCAAAAGTATGAAGTCAAGAAACACCTGGAGTAGCAGGCAAATTTGGCCTGGAGGTACGGAATGAAGCAGGGCAAAGGCTAATGGAGTTTTGCCAAGAGAACACACCGGTTAGAGCAAACACCCTCTTCCAACAACACAAGAGAAGACTCTACCCATGGACATCACCAGATGGTCAACACCGAAATCAGACTGATTATATTCTTTGCAGCCAAAGATGGAGAATCTCTACACAGTCAGCAAAAACAAGACCGGCAGCTAACTGTGGCTCAGGTCATGAACTCCTTATGGCCAAATTCACACTTAAATTGGAGAAAGTAGGGAAAACCACTAGATCACTCAGGTATCACCTAAACCAAATCCCTTATGACTATACAGTGGAAGTGAGAAATAGATTTAAGGGACTAGATCTGATAGACAGAGTGCCTGATGAACCATGGATAGCAGACTACTTGTACAGGAGACAGGGATCAAGACCATCCCCATAGGAAAGAAATGCAAAAAAGAAAAACGGCTGTCTGAGGAGGCCTTACAAATAGCTGTGAAAAGAAGAGAAGCAAAAGGCAAAGGAGAAAAAGAAAGATAGTCCTATTTGAATGCAGAGTTCCAAAGAATAGCAAGGAGAGATAAGAAAGCCTTCCTCAGCGGTCAATGCAAAGAAATAGAGGAAAACAACAGAATGGGAAAGACTAGAGATCTCTTCAAGAAAATTAGAGATACCAAGGGAACATTTCATGCAAAGATGGGTTCGATAAAGGACAGAAATGGTATGGACCTAACAGAAGCAGAAGATATTCCGAGGAGGTGGCAAGAATACACAGAAGGAATGTACAGAGAAAAGATCTTCACGACCCAGATAATCATGATGGTGTGATTTCTCACCTAGAACCAGACATCCTCGAATGTGAAGTCAGGTGGGCCTTAGAAAGCATCACTATGAACAAAGCTAGCGGAGGTGATGGAATTGCACTTGACCTATTTCAAATCCTGAAAGATGATGCTGTGAAAGTACTGCACTCAATATGCCAGCAAATTTGGAAAACTCAGCAGTGGCCACAGGACTGGAAAAGGTCAGTTTTCATTCCAATCCCAAAGAATGCTCAAAGAACCGCACAATTGCACTCATCTCACACACTAGAAAAGTAATGCTCAAAATTCTCCAAGCCAGGCTTCAGCAATACGTGAATGGTGAACTTCCAGATGTTCAGGCTGGTTTTAGAAAAGGCAGAGGAACCAGAGGTCAAATCGCCAACATCCGATGGATCATAGAAAAAGCAAGAGAGTTCCAGAAAAACATCTATTTCTGCTTCATTGACTATGCCAAAGCCTTTGACTGTGTGGATCACAATAAACTGTGGAAAATTCCCATCTCTGAAAGAGATGGGAATACCAGACCACCTGACCTACCTCTTGAGGAACCTATACATAGGTCAGGAAGCAACAGTTAGAACTGGACATGCAACAACAGACTGGTTCCAAATAGGAAAAGGAGTACATCAAGACTGTACACTGTCACCCTGCTTATTTAACTTAAATGCAGAGTATAACATGAGAAACGCTGGGCTGGAAGAAGCACAAGCTGGACTCAAGATTGCTGGAAGAAATATCAATAACCTCAGATATGCACATGACACCACCCTTCCGACAGAAAGTGAAGAGGAACTAAAAAGCCTTTTGATGAAAGTGCAAGAGGAGAGTGCAAAAATTGGCTTAAAGCTCAACATTCAGAAAACTAAGATCATGGCATCTGGTCCCATCACTTCATGGGAATTAGACAGGGAAACAGTGGAAACAGTGTCAGACTTTCTTTTTGGGGGGCTCCAAAATCACTGCAGATGGTGATTGCAGCCATGAAATGAAAAGACGCTTACTCCTTGGAAGGAAAGTTATGACCAACCTAGATAGCATATATAAAAGCAGAGACATTACTTTACCAACAAAGGTCCATCTAAGTCAAGGCTATGGTTTTTCCAGTGGTCATGTATGGATGTGAGAGTTGGGACTGTGAAGAAAGCTAAGCACCGAACCATTGATGCTTTTGAACTGTGATGTTGGAGAAGACTCGTGACAGTCCCTTGGACTGCAAGGAGATCCAACCAGTCCATCCTAAAGGAGATCAGTCCTGGGTTTTCATTGGAAGGACTGATGCTGAAGCTGAAACTCCAATACTTTGGCCACCTCTTGCGAAGAGTTGACTTACTGGAAAACACCCTGATGCTGGGAAGGACTGGGGGCAGGAGGAGAAGGGGACCACAGAAGATGAAATGGCTGGATGGCATCACTGACTCGATGGACGTGAGTTTGACTAAACTCTGGGAGTTGGTGATGGACAGGGAGGCCTGGCGTGCTGCGATTCATGGGGTCGCAAAGAGTCAGATACAACTGAGCGACTGAACAGAACCTTCTTATGGGGTAAGTATTATGACAGATGACATCAAAAACCCCAGATGTTCCTCTCCTTACCCCAATTGACTGCTCTACAAATACTAGGACACCCACTAGATTATTTTCTCGACCAAAATGTTCTAGAAAAAAAAAAATTTATCCCTGGTAGTTTAGAGCACTACTGAAAAACTACAACATTTAAATTAATCGCTATATTCTGAAATTTGCTTGCATGACTTCTACATGCATGAATTATCACTTGGGAAGGGAAATATGAAAGTTTAGATTTTAGTAGAACCTTATTTAGATAGGTTACAAGTGCAAACAGGAGAAGCTACTTCTATTCTGTTTGTTAAACAGCTAAAGACAAATGATTGTTTCAATTCGGCTCCTTCGAAGAAAAAGGGAGAAAGAGCAAGAGTAAACCTGTAGGGAAATGATCATGAATGAAAGCCACAAACACACTAAACAGAAAGCCATGATCAAACATATTCACAACAGAGGCAGAGATGGACTTAAAGAATAGACACTGAAGGAAAGTATTCTGCAAGGAAAAATTAGGTTAACAGTAAAAAAAAGCAAAAAAGGTGGGGGAGGAAAAGAAAGCAGAGAGAGACATTCCCAGTCAAGTACAAACTTAAGGGAATAAAATAAGCATAATAAGGCTTGTGGAAAAACACGCACATTTAAAATGTGTATACAATAGATCAGCAATACACCAGTATTCTTAAGGATATGCTATGAACAGAGCCTCTGTTTTATATGCTTTTATTAATATATAAATTACGCATCTATACTGTTCTGCAAATCTTATGAAAATATCAACATACGTTGTCTATAAAACATATACTTAAGACAGAGGCTTTTGTTCATAATATATCCCTCATATAGCGATCTGTATTACTCCAAAACTTTTTGTTTATAAATACTACCGTATTAGAGTTGAATTTTGCCACTATAAAAAGTGTCATCTGATTAGCCACACATGGTCATCTATCACTACCTGAATGTTGTAAAGTATTACTTGAGAGAGAGGAAGATTGTTTAAGAAATATTCCTAACTATTCACTGGGAAAAAGAAGTGGTAATCAAAATTCTGGGGAGAATGTATGGCTTGAAAAGAAACATTTAATGGAACACAAGATGGGGCGAAAAAGTCAAAAATTTTAACCTAAAATTCTCATCTCACAGTGGGTGGACACTGAAAAAAATACTGTAACCTTTTCCTTTTCACATATTTCTTATTTATTTCCTTGTTCTGCAGGACCTCCTTCCTCAACATAATGCAACTGAACTATATTACCTGTAACATTACATAGGATATCGTTTGTCTCTTCATTTATTCACATTCAAAAACTATTAACATGGTTCTTACACTTGAGACCTATGCTACATGCTCCAGGGGATGCACAATTATTTCCTCAACTCCACTAGCTTACACTGATACGGGGCTATAAGATGAATACTTAAATCACAATAATACAAAATGTCTGAAATCTGAAGTTTTAGAATGTGACACAGGACATGGGGTAGGTGTTTTTAAAACTACAATAGAAAAAAAAAATCCCAAGTTGCAAGTTTTATCTTACAATTATTAAAAGTCTCTGCTTCTATGAAGTGAAAGTCGATCAGTCGTGTCCGAATCTTTGCAACTCCATGGACTCTACGTTCCATGGAATTCTCCAAGCCAGAATACTGGAGTGGGTAGCTGTTCTCCAGGGGATATTCCCAACCCAGGGATCGAACCCAGGTCTCCACCATTGTAGGCAGATTCTTGACTGTCTGAGTATTGCATTGTGACTATTGCAAAAGTCATGTCCTTATGGTTTAAAATTCACAGTAAGAGTCTTTATCCTTGACCAAAATTCACAGTTCCTTCATTGTGGAAAAGCTTTTCCAATACAATTTTCCTGTCACTCTATTTTCCAGCCCATTGTTTTCTTCACCCCACCTTCATTATTCACCAAAGTTAAGAATAAAAAAAAATAAAAAAAACCAGTCATATGTCTATAAAATAGTTTGCTCTGAAGAACGTTCCATCATAAACATAAAACAGTGACAGGGACACCATTGCTGAATTTAAGAGTAAATACTACATGAAGCTAAATTCAGAGTATGGAAACTAATTTCACAAGAGTGCACTTTACCTTGGTTTCAAAATCTAAGACTTCATCATCTGACAGAGGCCATAAGTCAGCACCAGGTTTGTTGGAAAACCTTTAGAGCATAAACATACAAAGTTTGTATAAAGTTCATTTCTTTAAATGAAGGGAAAAAAAGCACGTGAAAGTTTGGCTATCTATGCAGTAAACGAAGTTTCTTGACATAATTAAAATTTGGCCTCTGTTTTCAAACATTTTTTTTAAAGATATTTTGATGTGGACCATTTTTAAAGTCTTTATTGAATTTGCTGCCATGTTGCTTCTGTCTTATGTTTTGGCTCTTTGACCCCAAGGCATGTGGGATCTCAGCTCCTCTGACTGGAGATTGAACCCACACCACCTGCATTGGAAGGAGAAGTCTTTAACCCATCTTAACCACTGCACCCCCAGAGAAGTCTCCAAAAAAGATGTTAGTTACCTATTTCTGCTTCCATCTCTCCCAACCTATGACATATCTAGGTAAGACTCATTCTTAGTTTCCATTAACAAAGACTGACAGCCAATATATTGGCAGAGCCTGAGAATAATATGTGTTCACCAAGTCCTAATAGCTGAACTGAAAATCCTATTGAGGGACTGACGTAACTTTTGTTTGCCCAAAGCGGAATAAACCTGATGACTTAGAGCAGCACGACATGCGGTTCCTTCGCCACTGTCTGTCGCTGGTTCAGAGACTAATCTGTGCCCGTCACAACTGGCAGCCTTGGTCCTTCAGCAGGGGAATCACTTATGGAGAAGGCCCCATTCCTCCCTTCACTGTGAGGGGGATACAGGAGCTCCCCGCAACGTCTAAAACTGGAAATGGATACACGTCAAAGAACTAATTTACATGTTTCACTCATATGCTACACGGGTACTTCTCAATCTCTGCTGAGGGACACGAGAGTGGAGGCTGGAGCCAGGCAGGCCAGCTGTCAAGTCACAGGTCAACTCATTTTAAGCATGGAATCATGGGTCAACTCATCAACCTCCCGAACCACAGTTGCCTAGGTCAGTAAAAGCAGGACACAGTTACTTTACAAAGCTGCTCTGATGACTCGATGCGGTCACAGATGTTACACACATGATGCAGTCTCTAACCCAGAGTAGAACGCTCAACAAACAGTAGCTTCTCTTCTCTGTGTGTTCTCCTAGTAAAACATACAAGTTTTAAAAATCCGTCAAATCCTACCTGCTTAAAGAGTCTTCTTCAGAACTCGTATCCACTATTAAAGAAAAAAGGAAGACACATTTTAAATCAACAAAAGAAAAATACAGACTATTAAAACCTCAAGACGGATGTTTTGTTTAAAAGTATTCCTTTGGGACCACACCTGGAGACCACACTAGAGGGAATAGTGATTGTACTATACTCATGGGCCATTAATGCCTAAGAACCACTCCTCTCCTTTATGGTCGTCAAAGGCAGAACAGAAAAAAAGAAGAAAGAACTGCTGATACAATGACCATAGTCCTAACCAAACTCTAGGAGACTGACAGAAAATGATACTACACCATGAATAGAATCAGTACTATAAACTGACAATAGCACTCTTGAACAGCACAGTACTTCTGGACTTCCATTCCCTGGAGCAGTGAACAGAGCCTACAGGTGTCTTACTAGGACATAACACAAATTCTCTGGCTCTTCAGTTCAGGATGAAAATGCCCTATCACAAGGAAGCGTGGTCTACAGGCGCTGAACTTCAGAGCGTGGTAAAACATAGGAAACAAAGTCTTCCTGGCCCTCTTTCCAAATGCAAGAGAAGTATAAAAGATGTAGTGATTCCAGGTTTAGAAGGGATAATCTCTTGAAAGGGAGGTGGGGAAGGGTAAATGGGTAAAGGGGGTCAACTGGGTGGTGAGGATGGGGGCTAGACTTGCAGTGGTGAGCATGCTGCAGGGTACACGGAGGCTGAGCATTTTTAATGTTTTAGATATACATGTGTACGTACTAATAAATGTGAAAAGTATAATCTCTTGAGACTATCACCTTCCATTGTTCAAGAGTATCTGGACCACCTAGAGCAGGATGGTCCAAACAGTGCTGTGTTCTACTGAGGGATATCATTACATCAATCCTCCCCATTATATGGCAAAGGTTGATAGAAATGATGCTTTTTCAGCTTGGAAGGCGTTCGTCATCAGACCCTAAGCTGATGAATAAGGGGAGGGAGGGAAGCAGAGAGGAAGCTATGGACGCTGGTGCTGCTGGAGGACGTCTGACGTGTGTCGTCATGATCTGACGCTGGAGGGAGGACTCCCGTGCCGTGACTCCATGGGGAGAGGAGCACTTCAAGCTCAGGCCTGGAGGGCTGGGACAGGGACTTTCAACTGTGTGCGCCCTGTGACGTCAGAACAACGCTTAGCACATAAAAGACCCTGGAAAGTTATCTCCTTGGTGAACAATGAACACGTACATAAGAACGTTTTCTTTGAAAACTCTGTTTCGAAAACTGTAGAAATTAACCAGGGACAACTCTATTCTATTCTGAGCATACTGAACACCAAGACTGTATGTCATCTCTGTATCTCCTCTAACGTGTAAAACCAACCTACAGAAGTTCTTTGGTGGATGTTGTTGCTGTTCAGTCACTGAGTCGTGTCCGCCTCTCTGTGACCCGATGGACTGTAGCTCACCAGGCTCTTCTGTCCCTGGGATTCCCCAGGCAAGAACACTGGAGTGGGTTGCCATTTCCTTCTCCAGGAGCTCTTCCCGATCCAGGGCTGGAACCCGTATCTCTGGCATTGGCAGGCGGATTCGTTCCTGCTGAGCCACCTGGGAAGCCCCCTTTGACTAGACAGAGGTGAACGAGGTTTAAAGGTGTTCTCAGACAGCTTGTACAATGTGCTAGATGCCACATCGAGGGGACATGGTGGTGTTTTTGCTCATGGGAAGTGTGCTGGTTCTTTTATTAGAATCTGCAGAGTCCCAAGTTGATCTATTTGAAAATCTATTACGACCATCTTTTAAATAATGGCAACAGAACATGTTGTTCTTACAAAACTATACTAACATGACAATTATCCAACACACAGAAGAAAACATCTGGTTCTAATGAAGTCAACCTATCTCACTCTTTTTGGATCTGTAAGGAATAAAATTGGTAATAGAGACCTTGTTGATACAATAGGCAAAATAACCGGTGCTTCTCAACTAGGCATCGCTTTTCTGATCTGTACTATTGGAAGGCATCTTCTGAAAGTAATCTCTTCCTGGTATGCTGCACACTGGTTCAGCACTGCAGTTCTTATTGTTTATCACTTCTTATCCTACCAGGAAGGGACTGTTGCGGTTCCCAGTTTAAACGATGGTAACTTTTATAATGAGACCAATCACTACACAGTAACTGATAACTATTCATTCACTAAATGCAAACTATTTGTAAAAATTAAAGCTCCACTTTTATAAGAAGTCAATTTGCTATAACAGGATTAAAGATGAAATATATATCATACTAACTTAAACATTTTTTGCAATGTACATAAAAATCTAATACAGGATTTTAGGGGCTGTAATTAAATACACGGAATTCTTTTCAGACAATACTGGCTCTGATGTTAAAGTACCTACAATTAACTTCTTTAACAATTCTGAAGACTAGACTATTAAGAAATTCATTTAAAAACACATGCAATTTACACTAATTTTATCAAAGTTCTTTCATTATTGAAATTTCCTCACTACTACTTTATCTATGGTAGAACCACCAAGAGTAATTCATTATTATCAGATGACGTACCTGGGTTGCTCTTTTCGGGAGGAGTTTTAGGCCTCTTTTCTTTATATTCAGAGATCAGTTGGCAAATGCTATGTGTTAAAAATGTGATAAATAATATTTTAACACTAATATGAAAAACAACTGCCAAATATGTTAAATTCTTAGATCATTTCAGACAATGTCAGCGATAATATCAAAACTACAATTGTCCCATACATTTCAAGTTTCTAAGTTCTACCAAGTTTTATTTAGCATGCATTTAAAGGAGAAAGGAAAGGAAGATGAAGTAGTCATGAACTGAGCGCAATACAGCTCAGCAGATTAACTAGATTTAGCTTGGCATACGAAAACTCTTTCCAGCTCGCAAATCCTAGCTCTGTAACCAACTGCTCTTTGTTCCGAGAGAACTGCTTCTCTTGAGTTCAAAGTCATCCTCTACACAACTGGGATCTTACTGCCTTATTTCACAAGGGGATTAAGCGGAGTTAATGAGATAATATATCCCCAAAATGCTTGCAGAAACAGTCAAAGAATGGAATAATTTGCTCTTGAACTTTATTGTTGGAACTACTTTGGAATTCCAAAGAAAGCCAATGTGTGTTTTCTTATAGGTTTAGCATTCAATGGTTGCAGGAAACTGTTATTAATTATGGTGATTAGTTGTTCTTTGTGGTTTGTAATTCAGGGAATCTCAGCTCTTATATAATTTGTACCTAAATTTATTTATAAAATATGAACTCACTACATTAGGTAACATAATTACCCCCCATTATTGCAGCTAATCACACCAAGCACAGAAATCTAATCACAGTCAAGACCTGGCCTGGACCCCTGCTCTCCCTTCTCTACCTGCTCAAACTCTCAACCAGCAGATCTTTCTGACAATGATGCTTAATCTCCATGTTCATCTCTGATTCACTTGGAAGACATAACCCTACTCTTACAGTGGATACTGGCAAGTCCTAGGCAGGGCTTACCCCTCGAAATTCCTCTCTGAACTAACTTACTGGAGATTTAAGGAGTTCTGGTGAATGGGTTCCTTGTGAGACAGACTCAGAAAACATTTACGGTTGAGGCAGATAAATCCTTTGGAAGATTTTCATTATTGCAGGAAACAGATCCCACGAGGGGCCAACCCTCCATGTAACTATGGAATCTCAGGCAAGCTGACACCCACTACTCTGGGAAGGATGACCGGGAACCTATGACCTAAGGAAAGGTGCCCCCACAGGATAGAAGGTGCCTGCACCGAACAGAAAACTCTCACTGGTCATGTAACAAGTAACAGTTAAAATTCTTTTTGGCGGCAGTTGAGTGATCACTGGCGTTTTAATGTGAACACTTACGTATTAAATCCACTAAGAGAAGCATATTCTTCTGCAGTCCGTCCAAAGACATCTCGAGAAAAGACGTCAGCACCTCGCTGAAGGAGAAGACTGACTACACTCATAGACTCGTAATTGACAGCAAGTATGAGGGCGGTTCTAAAACAACAGAGAGATGACGTCACCCTCAGGAAGTTGAGTGAACTTACAGAAACAGCTCGTTTGATATGCTTTACCAAGTTAACATCTTGCCCTTCCGTGAAGAAATGACCATTTACACTCTCAAGTGTACATCCTTGTAAATGACCTCCAAGGCTAAAATGAAGCGATGGATAAGAAGCCTCCTGTCCCCCTGGGATGGCACGTAGCAGCACTTACTATTTCAAAAGTCCCTGATGGGGACTTCCCTGGTGGACCAGGGGCTATGACTCCAGGCTCCCAAGGCAGGGGGCCCAGATTCCATCCCTGGACAGGGAACTTCATCCCACATGCTGCAACTGAGAGTTCCCACAACTAAGACCCCATGCAGTCAAATAAATAAATGCTTTTCAAAAATAGTAACCAAGTCCTTGATGGACAAGAAACTGTGCGGAGGTCACTTATCTCAGGCAGGTGAGTATTTAAGGAACGAATCCCCCATTTCCTCCTTAGTCTGATATATTATGCTTCAAAGTCAGCTAGAGCGTGGGTTAAGCAAAGGCTATTTGCTGGCTTCAAACAAAAATATTAACAACAATGAAATAAAAATAGTCACCGTGGCACTTAATGATGTGGACAAGCATGTGCTCTTCACTAAATGAAATACTATGTATACACACAGCCACCTTTGAAGGATGCATTACTATTTGCCCTTTTGTATCAGGGAACTTATTTGCTGATGATAAGTAATGTGCCCAAGGTCATAACCCTAATAGGGAGGAAAGCTAGGAGCTGAACCCAGTCTGAATCTAAAGCCCATCATTTTCGTCTGTATCATCCACCTCTGAATTGTCTTTGTTGAAGCAACTGTTTATCCAATTAAACCTATCATTCTTCCTTCTACCTTCATTGAAAATGAAAACATCAAAATGTACTAGAAATAAAAAGGGATAAAAACTGTCACCAGACAGTCACAGTATCTGGTGACAGTGATTACTGATCACTTTTTGTTGTGGTTGAGGCACTAAACTGTGAAGGACTCTCCTGCAATCTAATAACATCAGTATTTTTCAAAGAAAGTAACTGAAAGCAAAGAGTCACCCAAAAGACAAAATCAAGTCCTTTATGTTTAGTATGCATCTTTTAAGGAAAAATATACACGAAGTAGAGGTTAAACAATCATTATAAAAGAATTAAGAAGTTCGATACTGTCATAAGGTGAACTAAAAAGCAGAATCCATATTGTATAAAGCTAACGAAACTAGTATGAAATCCCTCAGCTACTACAAGATCAACCAGAAGAAAGAACAGGTTGACATCACTCGATATTATAAAGGAATATGAATCCTGCTATATATCTCTGCTATATAGTTTTTCACAACTCCCAGTCAGAATAATTGGTTTTCTACCTAACTGATGAAGTGCTGATCACAAATGACACCTTATTAATTTAATCTTGATCTTGATGTTAGCACCCAAGAACAGCACTAAGGTTTTTAAAAAGAAAAAGAACAACTGTACCTTTTCATCTTATCAACCGCGTGTATATTTGCTTCTTTCTCTACTAAAAATTCCACCATTTGCTGTTGCCTTTCACTTATGGCCAATAATAGTGGTGTCAGGTCATTCTGTAAAACAGGAAAAACCATTTCGAATGTACCCAGTTAACCTATTTCTAAACTGAACTGAAAAATCTCTGAACTTAAACATATAATTCAGAAAGCAAATAAAAGGGAGCCCATCCTCCTCATCCCCCGGCGCGCCTTCTATCCCTTCAAGATGCTCCTCCTCCTGGCCTTCCCTGGGGGTCCAGGGGCTAAGATTTGAGCTCCCAAGGCAGGGGGTCCAGGTTCCATCCCTGGTCAGGGAACTAGAGTCCAAGTGCCGAAACTAAAGATCCCACCTGCCACAAATAGACCCAGTGCAGCCAAATACGTCTTCTGAAAAGGTAAAGAATAAAATGCTCCTCCTCTACCTCTTCCAAAGATGAACCACAGAGTCATTCTCTAAAACTCACTTTCAGCATTTACTGGTTCCAAGGATCTTTGCTTCTATCATCGTATTTATCAGGAATATTGTAGTATTTACTTGCTCTATTACTAGTCTCAACACTCCTCCAGAGAGAATCAATTAGCTACTTGATTTAGTAGCTGCATGTTTTAGGAACAATGCTGAGGCAGGAATACATCATATTATCTGTAGCATGCATAACCTATCCAAGGATGACCAAGAGTAACCTCATGAGGTTTACAGACATTCCAATGGGAATGTTATCCTCTACATGAACATGCAAAGAGAAAGGTTGTTTTCTTTTCTTCCAAAAAAACCAACTGTGGGCACCATGTTTTTCGCCTCTCTCAGCAAAGTCTCTTGAAATTTAATCTTACTCATTCTCCTTTGCTTGTTCCTTCCCCCGCCCTTAAGTTAAACTGACAGGTCAGCATCAGCTAGATGCTGTTTCATGCAGAACAACACCGCTTATCTTCAAAGACCTTTCTTGACGGCTCTCATGTGATGACCTCCAGACCTCCAGGAGGAAGCTTCCTGAATCCCAGAGTTCTGGTCTCTGTCTTGCTTTACTGCTCTTAGTGAAAGATTACAAGCTAAGTTACCAATAAATACGCACTCAGCATTTTCTCGGGGAGTTGCTCTTCCGTGAACTCTCCCCACGCTCTCTCTCATAATCCTGTGTGTCTGGGAGACTCATTCAGTGTGAAACCGCCATAACCAACTTAAAAATTCTAATTTGAAAAATTCAATCCCATCCTTAAGAGATTCTTTTAAAATATGGAATCAATTATAGATTAATTAGACTGTCTTTAAGACCTTGAAATAGTTATCAAAATAAACTATAAATCAAGAATTGGAAACTCAAATGCTTATGGAGGGAAAGCTGGTGACCTAAGTGAAAAAGCCAGGTGAGGCTGGCAAACCCACGCACACAGGCCCCATACAGAAGGGGAGGCCTCCACATGCAGCCCAAACAGCAGGATGGGCTCAAGGGGGCCCAGACTTGGTTCTCTGAGAAGCCTGAAGCGCAGACCTCTGCATGAGTTTGCGAAATGTTAAATGCTGACTCAGTTTGTGGAGGTAGGTAAGCTAAACATATCCAAGGACCACATTTGGTCTGTGGCCCATTTGTGCTTTTACGTCTTGCTGTTTCCAAACAGGTGGGTATAAAGCAAATATTTGTATGTGAAAGCTTTCCTTTCTTTAGTATCATGTGTTTCACAAGAAAAGTGGGTCTCAATATGTAATAAAAATTGCTATTGACTCATAATTTTATTAAAATAAATTTAAAAACAAGACTCAAAATTCCCACTTGAAGAATGTTTCCACTGCCTGTTAAAACTACAATCTCTTTCTAGAATTCTCCCAGATTATTAACCAAATGGATAATGAGTTCCTAAGACTGCTGAAACTAAATGATTAAAACAATCCCCATCGGTACTAACTTCATGGGTTTTGATGTTTAAAGCTGTCATCTCGCTTATGCCAGGGCTCAGCAAATCTAACAGACACACTGCAAGAGTCTGTCCTGCTGACACCAAAAGAAGGCTCATGAATTACTGTTACCGCAGTCAGGAGAACCCAGTTGGTAACAAACATCTGTTGACCTGATGACCTGGTTGATAACAGAAGGTGTAATATTCTTAAAGGGTCAGACTCTACAGACGAAGTGACTTGGCCAGGAGCAAATCTCTAAAGACTCTTGGAGTGTCACTGAATAATGAGTGGTTGGAAGAAAAAGGAGTTATATCACTCAAGCCAATAGATATTGCCGGAAATGTTCCTTTTAACTTCTCAATCACAGAGGCAGAGGAAAAAGTCAGGCTAATATTGTTGCAGAGGAGGGAGCTGATGGAACTAGCTAGCATTGATCAAATGCCAACTCTGCTATATTTTACTTATTTTTGAGATAGGTGCACTAGAAATTATACTTAATCACTCCATAGTTCTTCACCAAGGATCGTATCAGAATCTCAAGGAAATATTTCTAAATACACACATCCAGGCCTTCCTCGATTTATTCCATCAAAATCTTCAGGGAACAGCCTAGGTTTGTAAATTTTTTTACAAACTTTCCCAACGGATTGCGGTTTTCACCAGCACAATCTAGCTGAGAATTAGCCCGGCAAACATCCCAGTCTCATCTCTAACCCACATGGCCAGTCCCGTCTCTTACTCGAGGATTTGAAGAAAAAAGAAAAGTGTAAGAGGCAAGAGTCATCAAAACAGAATTAGATTTTCCTGGGTCAATAATGGTGGAACAGGGACTAATAAACACAAAAGGCAACCTGATCTCGTCGTTCATAAACCCCTTCCTTTCCATCAAGGCCTTCCAGATTGAGAGCAGAGTCTCGACTCTTGTCTAACTGGCTGTTTCTGCCAGAATAGGATAATATTTCTGTTAAATATTTGTTCTTCTCTCTTCTTTCCAACTTAATCACCACCTTTTCACTGCTGATCTGATTTCTGCAGTCTTCCTAAAATTGATACCTAGGCAAGCCTCCAACTCATTCAATCTCTTTCTCAAAATAACAACTATTATACCTGAAACTGAAAAGCACCTTACCAAAATATATAAACTGAAGGGGGAAAAAAACAAAAAAAAAATCTCAAGACTTCTGTGGTGGCCCAGTGGCTGGGTCTCAGCGCTCACAGTATAGGGGGTCTGGGTTCAATCCCTGATCAGGGAACTAGACCCTGCATGCTGAAACTAAGACCTAGCACAGCCAAATACACATTAAAAAAAAAAAACAAAAAACTTCTTCTTGGCATTTCCCCAACTGCCAAAATTCCAGCCCCATCTGCGTTTTTCAGCTGCTCGCTCCTTTTCCTTTCCTTTTAGCCTCTGAAGCCTTGGGCAATGAGAGAGAAATCATTTTTATATAAATCATTTTTTCATAAAATTGGAATGTGTTAACAACGGCAAGATTTCTATTATGTTGTCAAATGCTTGTTTGAGTTTTAAGACAAAGTCTACTTCCAAGGCAAATTTTGCATTACTGTGTTACTTTAGACTAATTTAGAAAAAAAAATTTTTTTTCAGTAAGGGAAAAATACTTGGAAAAAGTTTTACCTTTAACAATTGCTGTGTTATCACAAATATCTGCCATAAACACAAAAAAGAACGCTTTGCTCTCTAATGCTTCTTGAGCAACATCGTGAGTTAAAGTGATATCTTAGACAATCAAGTGCTTTCAAAATATTTTCACTGAGGGAAGGCTGGAGCTTCCAAACAAGGAAAACTGAGCACACCTGCGAGAGTGGGGGAGCTGTCTCTACAGCTCCTGGCAGGGCTGCAGCCGCAGGAGAAAGAGCAGGAGGGGCAGCTTCACTATCACCAGCTCCCCACACTCAGCTGCAGCCCCGCCGAGCAGCCCCCCAGGGCTGGGTGTGGGAGACCCGAGGAGCGCACCCGGCGAACCAAGCGGTCACCAGCACGAGTGAACGCCCTGGCTGGGTGTCAAACGTGACCTGACCCACTCCACCGGATCTCAGAACAGGGGTCCTGGAGGGCTCAGGGCTCCGGGCCTGCTGCCTCCCCGGCCCACTTGCACCCCCCAGCTCCCCCTGCTGGGCGCTGGTTCTCCTTCCTCCTACTCCCATCCCTCGCCCAGCAGCTGTGCCCATTCCCTGAGCCCCTGGGAGCAGCCACCCACCACATCACTTCACTCTCCCCAGGCCTTCAGTTTTTGTAGGACTTGAGCCTACCACCCATTCCTGAGCACGTTCTAGTGGGAAAGTCTTCCTTCTGGGGTAGAAGGGGGCTGAGAGAGACAGAGTGGCCCTTTCTGTGGGCTCTGACATGTTCTGCCCAACCCCTGACTTGGCTTTGGAGTCGTTTCCACGGTAACAGGGCCGGCTGGACACTACTCATTCCACCTATTTACATACTGTTATCAATAAAACACTACGAGTTTAGAACAATGCTTTGCAAATATTTTGTCAATAAAGTCAGTTGAGCTATACCTTGTTCCTGGCTTCTATATGGGCGTCGTAGGAAAGCAGCTTTGCCGCGAGTGACATATTCTGGCCAAAGACAGCGTAGTGGAGCGCGGTGTTGCCACAGGCGTCCCTGACATTTGGGTCGGCGCCGTGCTCCAGCAGGAGAGTCGCGCACTCCTCCTCTTGGCATTCTACGGCCTGTCAGCGTTGTGCCAAGAAACAAGAGTGTGAGTGCTAGGAATTCCAAGTAAACAGTCCACAAGTTCACCAGTTCCCTCTAATTCAACGAGATCAATTCATTGTTAGTCTCAGTAGTTAAATCCCATCCATCTCATGTGGACATGGTTCGCTGCCCCATACCTTCATCAGCGCGGTCTTGTTTTCACTGTCACAGAGGTTAAGCAGGCATTTTCTCTCCAGGAGGAGAGCTACCACCGCTGAGTGGCCATTGGCACAGGCCAAGTGGAGCGCAGTCCTACGAAAGCAAGACAAGTTCTTAGGAAAATGTAGTGTAACTGTTTCAAAACAAACAACTCTTTGTGTGACTGAAAACACTCAACAGCATAGTACTCGTATCCCTCTAAAACAAATATTTCGTTTTCTTCTGGAGAAAGAGCAGGATATATTAGTTTAGCTCCTCTTGTTGCCCCTACTGCTGCTAAGTCGCTTCGGTCGTGTCCGACTCTGTGCGACCCCATAGACGGCAGCCCACCAGGCTCTGCCGTCCCTGGGATTCAACAGGCAAGAACACTGGAGTGGGTTTAGCTCCTCTTACACAGTAATGAAACAACAGTCTTCTTGAATAGAATGCGCGAGACCTTGAGATTCAGCTCAACGTGAGTTTAAATTTGACTTTGTCACTTATTAGCTGTCGCTCACCCTCTCTGTACCTCAATTTCCTCACCAACAAAATGGAGAGAGAGGAGTGGTTATCTCACAGGACAGCACTGTGATGCTTAAATGAGACCCATGCACAGGGTTTAGAACTGTTCCCGGCACAGATAACAGCTAGTAATTGTTAGATTATATTATCATACTTACTACTACTGCTACTATCTCACAAGGACAACATCTGAATGAAGTCAAAGGACATTACACCTCCTTTGCAGATATGTTTAGAGGATTAGAGACAACATTGTACTTCGATGATTCTAATATGCTCATTTTCTCACATGTTAACGTCTCTGACATTGGAATATAATTTATAATTCACAGGCTTTACAACTGTAAATTGTAGCATTTTTGTTGGTTCATTTCTCAGTTTTCTCTTGGTCTAATTACCATGAGGGGTTTTCGTTTAAGTTTCTTTAGAGGTGACGTATGTTATATATTATTATATAACACAGGTCACAACACAGTGCTCCACAACTGTTAACAGTCACACTGCATTTAAGTGACTAGAAAATATTAGCCATATTCCCCATGTTGGACAATACAGCCTTATAGCTTGCAGGATGTTAGTTCCCTCACCAGAGACCGAACCCTGGGCCCAGAGCAGTGAGTCTTAACCACTGGACGGCCAGGAAATTCCCAAGATTCCCTTGACTTCTGAAAAGGCTGAAAGTGAAGACTGAAACCTGAAAGTGACAAGTTACTTTTCTCTGCGCCGCATCCTTGTGAGCGCCAGAGACAAGCCCTGTCTGCTAACCCGACTTCCCTAAGGCCGCCTGCTCCACAGAGATGTTTAAATGTGGGGGTTGCTAAATCAACCTGCAGATTTCTGTTTTTCTTCTTTTTGCTTTCTGGTGCCGAAACCCAGGAAACTCCACAATTCTTGCCTTTGAAATCACTCTTAAAACAGTCCTTGAGGTGGGATATATGTATATTCCCAACCGATTTATGATGTTGTACAGCAGAAACCAACACAACACTGGAAAGCAATTACCATCTAATTAAAAAAATATTAAGGTTAATAACCAGTAGAACTAGAAAAAAAAGAAGGTCTTTGTCACCACGAAAAAAATGTATAAATAGGAATGTCAGTTTTCTTCTGGTACTTTTCTCACCCTGTGTGTTTAAAATTTTTGATCCATACTCCATTCGAAACTTTTTGGTGAGATAAAAAATCTAGTTACTTTTCTCTAAATAGTTACCAGGTTATTTCTACACCATCTACACATAATTTATCTTTTCTGATAGAAAATGTCATCCAGCAAATTTTCATATCTAAAAGGGCAAATCTTTGCCTACTACACAAAACTTTTAATTTCATCACAACAATTAAAGACAGCACGTGTAACCCAAAATCTTTAAAACCATGGTCTGTTTATTTAGTTTAAACATGGAAAGACCATATACCCTAAGAAAATGTCCTCCTATTCAAGGACACAGCCAGCTTCCTACTTCAAAGCTGTCTTCTAAGGTCCTTCAGCAAGGAACATATACACAGAAGTGTACACTGATATAAAACAGATATTGCATTGTATCTGAAGAATTTTTAATCCAGAAGTTGACCTGCCATGGGGATTATTTTCTCACTGTGCCATTTTCTGTAATATGTGACATTATGGTATAAAAATGTGTACATTAAGATGCCGACAACATCAAAAATCTGTCCACTGCCAATATCCACAATGGATGATCAATGGGAAGAAGAGTTTTCATAAATCACATGACAAAAACAATGTGAGAGCTAGGGAGTTCCAGAAGATTTCTTGAGGGCCATAGAACTTGAGAGCTCTTACTCAAGAGTAGATCATGGTAACGCGTGCATAACAACAAATGGAGAGGAGGAAGAGGAAGAAGGAAAAAAAAGACGCTATTCATGTTTTATTTCAGTTCTGTGATTACTGACCTTCAGCTAAATAACTTTAAAACGACCAGTAAAGTGCTCTATAAGGGGAATTATTAGCAGGTCCGAAAGTAACTAAGCCTTTCGCAGCCTATCAAGTCTGTGGGGCGCTGGATCCCACAAAGGTGTCTGTGAGCTTTGGAGGGGAAACTCACAGGAGGGACCCCTGCCAGGGCCTTCCTCCCCGCTTACCTGTTCATCTTGTCCTTCTCGTTCAAGCCATTCTCTCCAAGCAACAGGACCTGCTGCACTTTAGCTACGTTGCCTACGCTGGCAGCTTTGTGGATCTTTCTGAGGTCCTTGTCTCGGATGTGGTACCAGGGCTGGAAGCTCGTTTTATGATGACCTCTGTCTCTCCCCAGGCTGATGGAGGGGCCGAAGGGTGACAGGCCCTTCTTACTCCTGAAGCCAAAAATCTTCTTCATCGCAGAGCCTACAGACTCCAAATACACCTCAACTCCCCCTGGGCTCTTTGCAGTCCCCTAAACCCAACACGAGCACTAGAGGTAAGCCAGAGCCGTCCCGCCACAACCTCCCAGCTGGGAAGCTCAACGGTTTGGAATCTTGCATCCCAGAATGATCGTCGCTAAGCGACACCTCTAAGCACACTGCCCGTGTGCCAGAATGCCCAGTGTGCGTGTGCAAGAACTGGAAATGCATTTTTTGAAAGAAACAAACAATATCAATAAACCCTTACCTAAGGTAAGAAGGAAAGAGAGGAAACTGAAAGAAGCAGAAAGGAAAGTGACATTACAAGAGATACTTTAGAAGTAAAGAAGCATAATCATAAGGGACCATTATTATTGATGAAAAATTGCAAACTGGAAAACCTAGATAAATTGTGAAAAACAAACACTCTGTCAAGACTAAAACAAGAAAAAGTAGAAAAACTCAACACTCCAATAAGAAACAAGGAGATTCAAATATTAATTAAAAAAAAAAAAAAAAAACCTCCCAAAAGCTAAAACCTTAGGACCAAATGGATTCAGAGAGCAAATCTACCAACAATCAAGTAAGAAGTAAAAGTAAGACTATGCAGAAAAAACACTTGACAAAATTCACAACCCATTCATGATTTAAAAAAAATACAATAAAGTAGAAATATCCTCAATACAATAAAGGCCATTTATTAAAAGCATGAAAAGTGAAAGTGATAGTCGCTCAGTCGTGTCTGACTCTTTGCTAAGGCATGGACTATACACTCCATGGAATTCTCTAGGCCAGAATATTAGAGTGGGTAGCCTTTCCCTTCTCCAGGGGACCTTTCCAACCCAGAGATAGAACCCAGGTCTCTCGCGTCGCAGGCAGATTCTTTACAGGCTGAGCACCAAGCAATCCCGAGAACGCTGGAGTGGGTAGCCGATCCCTTCTCCAGTAGATCTTCCTGACCCAGGAATCGAACCGGGGTCTCCTGCATTGCAGGTGGATTCTTTACCAACTGACTTAACAGGGAAGCTAGCCTACTTGGGAAAACAGCGCCTGATAGGAGGAAAAGCAGGGACCAAGAAGCTTTGACCAGGATGGCTGCCATCCTCAAAAACAAAAAATCCCCCTGTCCTGTGACTGATTCATGCTGATGTTTGGCAGAAACCAGCACAATACTGTAAAGCAATTATCCTTCAGTTAAAAATAACCTTAAAAAAACCAAAACAAAACCTCTCCCTCAACCATGCTGCCCCCCTTCACCTGCAGCCTGAATGGTGCTCAACCCACAAACGAAGACCCTGAAGGAGCTGCCCAGCCCCACGCTCTCCTCCTCGCCACAGCCTAGATTCTGCTCCCTCACTCTGTGGAACTCTTCTCCTCTCTGCCACCAGAGTCGAGAGGAGCCGAAATCAAAGAGAGGAGCCGAAATCAAACAGCTTGGCTACAGGTGAAGGGGGAGAGCTCTCGGCACTTCAGGTCGCGGGTGCCAGATGGTAAGGCTCAGAGAAAGCTGCCAGTGCTGTGACCAGGGTATAACATCACATGGTGAGGCCACGAGCTGGATCCTCACTGGAGGGAAGAAGAGCTCAAGACCCTCATCTGTCCCCACAGATGGGAGGGGGCGGGTTGCCGTGCATGCAGTCACGGGCTGTTATCACTTCCCGGCGGGGAGGGGACTCCTGCCCTGAGTCTGTGTGGCTGACACTGTGCTCTGATTAAACGTATCCCAGGTATGGAGAACAGCTGGAGAGCATGTTCAGCCTGCCTCAGCCTGGCTCCCAGGAAAGAGCAGCGAGCTTTTTTCTCTTCCCAGGTAGTGGCTGAGGCTGGGAAGAAGCAGGGAACACACATTGGCTCAAGAGCACATTCTCATCCAAACTCACAGTGTAGTGTAAACCTATCATTTCCGATCCCACAGGACAGGCAATGGCCAACCTGAAACACGGTGAAATTGGCCCAGGTGTGAACCTGGGTGTGTGCAGGGCAGAGAGAGAGGATTCTTTATCACGGACAAAGATGGGCCCTCGGTGGGGGTGGGGGCTGTTTTCAGCCCGTGAATGAGGCTGAGGGATGGGAGAACCATGCCTCCGTGATCGAGGCAAGTGCAGCTCCAAGCGGTCCTTAGGCCGCTGTGTCCACATTTGCTCCCTGGTTACTTTCTGAAGCTGTCAGGGCACAAGAAATCTGTCTAAAGGGAGCTGGGAAGCTGGCGTTCAGAGGCTTAAATAAACTACCTCTGTAGGAGGGTGGAACGCAAGGGCCATGTCTGGGCCCTCAGCTTTGAGAAGAGAGAGCATAGTCATACGCGGGTAAGACAAAGCTCGTTTGAATTACTACCCTGGCTCTGCCCCTAAATGAACCTCAGATATTTCATCCCATTTGTTTTCTCCATTTTTCCATGGATCTGTGTATCTATCTCCCGTCCACTATGATTTCAGCCTGCAAATTAGACTGTTTGCCCGGGGAGGAAGAGGGATAGATCATGCCTAGCAAGGCCGTTCCAGCACCGATCTGGCACTAATCTCAACTAACCCCCACAGTGATAAAGAAAAACCAAGGGCTGCAGCAGAGTTAGATTTTGGTGGCAGGCAGGTTGCACGTGTGCAAATCCCAGCTCAAATATCAAGTTTAAACCCTCAGCCTCAATTGTCTCATAACAGCATCACTTTATGAAGCTGTGGGTGTTGGAGGTTATCACACAGAGTGAAGGGGCATTTTGTTAAATATACATGTGGTAGCGGTCACTACTCTTATTAATTTGTGCATTATCACTGTTTCTGCAGGATCAGGGACATGCCGTCACTAGGTGGAATGCTAGTCTAGTAAGGGTGGACATTAGGTATAATCGAGGCAAGGCTGGGGAGGAAGGAGGGGTCCAGCTGCTCTGGAGAGTGGGCAGGAGGCCAGGAGGCAGTGGGCCTGGGGCAGGTGGGCACCAGGTCCCAGACCCCAGGATGGTGAGTTCAGTTCAATTCAGTTCAGTCGCTCAGTCGTGTCCGACTCTTTGCAACCCCATGAATCGCAGCACGCCAGGCTACCCTGTCCATCACCAACTCCCGCAGTTTACTCAAACTCATGGCCTTCGAGTCGGTGATGCCATCCGGCCATCTCATCCTCTGTTGTCCCCTCCTCCTCCTGTCCCCAATCCCTCCCAGCATCAGGGTCTTTTTCAATGAGTCAACTCTTCGCGTGAGGTGGCCAAAGTATTGAGTTTCAGCTTCAGCATCAGTCCTTCCAATGAACACCCAGGACTGATCTCCTTTAGGATAGACTTGTTGGATCTCCTTGCAGTCCAAGGGACTCTCAAGAGTCTTCTCCAACACCACCGTTCCAAAGCATCAATTTTTTGGCACTCAGCTTTCCTCACAGTCCAACTCTCACATCCATCATGACCACTGGAAAAACCATAGCCTTGACCAGATGGACGTTTGTTGGCAAAGTAATGTCTCTGTTTTTTAATATGCTATCTAGGTTGGTCATAACTTTCCTTGGAAGGAGTAAGGATGGTGAGTAGAGGAAGGCTAATGATGAAGGTTCTCCACTGAAGAGGAGCAGGACTCAGGCCTAAATATTTCTGCCTGGACAAGACAAAGTACCAGTGGACCAGGGCCAAGGAATGTGCTGCTGGGGAGAGGACAGCGGGGAACCCACCTCCCTGGTTCCTCCAGCAGAAGGTTAGTAGCTGCTCCCCTCAGGGAAGGTTAAGTAACCTCACCAAAGCCACTCTGCCAGTAAGTGATGGATCCAAGGTGGAAAACTCAATTGTCTTGCCTACTGTATAGCACAGGCCACTCCGCTCAATGGTATGTGGCAAGGCACATACTTCACATCCTTCTTGGATGGGAAGGCAGTTTGGAACGAACACTGGAATATGTGTATCTTTTTGAATTATAGTTTTCTCCAGATATATGCCCCAGAGTGGGCTTTCTGGATCATACAGTAATTCTGTTACATTTTCAGCTTTTTAAGGAACTTCCATACTGTTCTCCATAGTGGCTGTACCATTTTACAGTCTTACCACTAATGTAGGAGGGTTTCCTTTCCTCTATACCCTCTCCAGCCTTTATTATTTGTAGACTTTTGGATGATGACCACTCTGACCAGTGTGATGTGATACCTCATTGCAGTTCTGTCGTGCATTTCTCTGATAATCTGTGACGCTGAACATCATTTCATGTGGCTACTGGCAATCTGTATGTCTTCTTTGGAGAAATGCCTATTACGGTCTTCTGCCCATTTCTATTTTTTATTTTTAATTATTTGTTCTGCCCATTTTTAAACTGGGTTTTTGGTTTTTTATTTTTTTGACATAGAGCTACAAGAGCTATTTGCATATTTTTTGAAGATTAATCCCTTGTCAGTTGCTTCCTTTGCAAATATTTTGTCCTTGTTAGTTTTTTGTTTGGTTTATTGTTTCCTTTGGTGTGCAGAAGCTTTTAAGTATAATTGAGTCCCGTGTGTCTATTTTTGCTTTTATTTTCGGTACTCTTAACACATGGATCAAAAAGGATGTTTCTGCAATTTATGTCAGAGCGCTTTTTTTTGGCTGTGCCATGCAACTTGTGGGATCTTAGTTCCCTGACCAGGGATCGAAGTCAGGCTCACAGCAGTGAAAGTGCCAAGTCTTAACCCTTGGACTGCCAGAGAATTCCCTCAGAGAGTGTTCAGCCTATGTTTTCCTCTAAAAGTTTCCATGTAGGTCTTTCATGCATCTCAAGTATACTTTTGTCTATGGTATCAGAGAATGTTCTAATTTCATTCTTTTATGGATCTGTCCAGATTTCCAAGCCCCACTTATTGAAGAGGGTTTTCCCCACTGTCCATCCTTGCCTCTTTGTCATAGGTTAAGCAACCATATGTGCATGGAGAGAAGAGTCCACATTATGTTGTTGAGTCCTCCTACCCCAGATCTGAGCTTTCCACCTCTTCCAGCGGTTGAAGGCTTTTCTCATTCAAGCACGTACAGTGAAATGTGCAGACAGATGGAGGGGAGGGGCGT